TGAGCAGTTAGATGTGCCCCCGCCCCCACAGCTCCAAAGGAATAAAACTCTACATACACACATAAGCATGCATGCACTGAGCTGTGGAGAGAAAAAAAGAGCAGATGTAAGAAAGGAATATTTGCGAACTGACGACAGTTATGCCAAAGGCGCTGGGGAGATCATTCAGGGCTAAAGCGCTCACCAAGCATGCAGATGACCCGGGTTCAAGCCCCAGTAGGGTCCCCTGAGCTCTGCTGAGAGTGATTCCCTGAATGCAGAGCCAGGAATATGCTCTACACACTGCCGCTTCAGCCCCAACAGTACATTTACATATAGCCTAATTTTGCAGTATCTGAGTTTGCAAGGAAAAAAAAAGTAGGGGGTTTGGTGCCGTCAGGTCAGTCTGTACCTGTGAGGCGAGTGCATCAGCAGCCTGATGGCGCCTTCAGACTTCCAGATACCCCAAAATTGCTGCTGTGCCTTTGGGCAGGCCCCAAAGACTTGGGGCAAAGTTTGCCAAGAAAGTAAACGGCCAATAGTTAGGTATATGGGAGACATACCCACAAACCATCTCCGGCTCGGCTATATAATTGGTTCCTGATCGAACTGCTTAAGGGCCATGATCCCAGAGACTCAGAAACAAATCTCGAGACCCAGCGGCTTTTGGCAGAAATGCGTCCAGTCCCTGCAGTAGGTTACCGGCGCTGGGCCACCCCAGGTGAGAATAGGTTTTGTGCCTTGGCCTGTTCCCCCTGGCGGCCCAATGGCCGCCATCCTCCAGAGACCACTGGACAGTCAGGTTTGGGCCCGCAGTGACAAGACATGCGAGGCCTCACGGGATGGGGGCAGAGCCGGCCCTTTCCTCTCTGTCCCAACGAGACCCCAAGTCGCCGCCCACAAACGGCCTCTCTGGCTCCTGATCAAGTTGCTTAACGGCCATGATCCTGGAGATTCAGAAACAAATCTCAAAACCCAGCGGCTTTTGCAGAAATACGTCCGGTCCCTGCAGTCGCCGGGCCACCCCAGGGGGGAAAGGGTGCTGTCCCTCCACCTGCTCCCCCTTGGTGGCTTGGTGGCCACCATCCTCCAGAGGCCATTGGACAGTCAGGCTTGGGGCCGCAGTGATGAAACACGCGGGGAGTCATGGGATGGGGGTGGAGCCAGCCCTTTCCTCCCCACCCCAACCAGACCATGAGTTGCCGCCCAAGAATGGCCTCTCTTGCTCCTGATCAAGCTGCTTAACGGCCATGATCCAAGAGACTCAGGAACAAATCTCGGAACCCAGCAGGTTTTGGCAGAAATCCCTCCAGATTTGTGAAAATTTCGGAATTTCAAAATCGCGCAGCCACTACTGCAGCCATGTGACATCATATGTTATTCATAACTAGCAACAGAAAACAAATTTTCCATTGTTGCCTTTTCGGCAGAACTGAGTGTCAGGGTAAAATTCCAAATAATAATGGTGGGTCTGATGTCAAAATATTGAATGTAATCAAAGTAGAGAGAGTAATGTGGAAATCATCTGCCCTACAGAAGGGGGGAGGGTGTAGGATGGGGTATACTGGGGTTTTTGGTGGTGGAGAACGGGCACTGGTGAAGGGACAGGTGTTTCATTGTATGACCGAGACTTAAACCCAAAAGTTTTGTAACTGCTCTCACGGTGATTCAATAAATAAAATTATAAAAAATGAAAAAACAAAAAAGGCGGAGTTCACATCCAATTCAATCAGCCTAATCAGTGGCTGAATAAATAGCAGTACTCCTACATTAAAAAGAAAAAAAGTAATTCATCCAAGGAAATGGGGAGGTTTTTCTTCTGCAAGAAAGGCAGTAAGAATAGATGGAAGCATTCTCATTTGAAACAATTCTGCCGACACTAGTTACACTTCTCAAACACCACTGACATCGATTTTCCAAGAAGTTTCTCCCAAATCCAGAGCTGCAGACCTATCCTCTCCACACCTTTCCTGACCCGTGGGAAGCCCAGCAGGTGCCCGCAGATGGCCCTCTCAAGGTGGGAAGCTGGAAGTCTGTCTGCAGGTGTATATCTGGGACAAGACAGGCCCATCCTGAGCCTGTCCTGGCTTCTCCACCACCCATGAGTGCTGTGGACTGAGCTCCTAGAGTCACACAGGTCTTACTGGATATGGCCGGAGTGGGGCAGCTACGAGAGGCCCCGAATCCACCACTGCCCACCTCTCTGACCCTCTGCAGAAGGTGGCATGTGGCGAACAATGTGTTATCAGGGAAATGGCAGGAGCCAAAGAGTAGTCACTCGTCGTCTCAGGAGGCGCCTCAGACGGGATGATCTTGCTGCTCCCTCTGCCGCTGAGAGGGGCCAATTCTGACCGGGTACAGTGGATCCCTAGAAATCAGTGCCAAGGCAGCCAAGCAGGCTTGCAGAGCCCAGCCACTCCTGGGCAGCGATGCCAGGCAGGTTTTATGAGCACCGTGCTTGGAGGGGGTGTGGCCCCAGAACCGTTTCCATTCACCCTAACATCATAGACCACACTGATTCCAGGCCACATACTGCACAAAACACGATACAGCTGAAAACCACACAAATCTTTAAAACCTACCATGCCTCAATTAAGCCAATCACTTGCAAACTGTCCAGAAAACAGCAGACACTGAGCAGGTCCATGTGCTCAGAGAAACACTGGCACTAAACAGCCTCGGCATGCCATTTGGTCCAAGGCTCCCGCAGGGACAGACAGCACTGCCGGCTGACCTAGCAATAGTGCACAGGGCAGAAACCGAGTCCAGCCTGCTGTGGACTCACAGGATTTAGTGGATCTACAAGGATCTTGCTCTTGCCAAATGCAAGGACATATAGGTCACACCAACAAAGACACAGCAGCAGCGGCACACAACTGTGCTTTCCCGGGCAAATCCATTTCTAGTGCAGAGTTCTCTGGTTTCACACCTTGAGGAACAGGGAAATCTCACTGGAGCCCACGGCAGCCTTCTGTGCTCCGGGGTGAATGCATTTATCACTCCACCTGCATGGCTGTCCTCCACAGCCCCCCCCCCACACACTCTCCAACACTCAGTGCCTTCCTTATGCCTTTTTATAGGGGGAAGCCCAGCAGGTGCCAAGTCCTACTCAGGAGACTGGGGTGCTGGTGGCTCTCGGCACCTCCATACACAGGCACTGCTATGCTGGAGTCTTGCACATGCTGGACACTATCAGCCTCTGCTCCACTGATCCAAATGCCAACGCAGAGCAACTCAGAAGAGACAGACAGTCGTCACCCTCACACACAGATTGTCACTGAATTAACACTGCTTCTCTCCATGCTCTCTGCTTCCAACCTTCCACTGGGGCTGCGGCTGGAAAGCCTGGGGTTACCCACAAGGCTCTGGCCTCCCACCACTCTCCTCCAGGAGTGACTCGAGTCTGTCTCCCACCGGAGGAGGGCTCCAGACACAGAGTAATTCCTGACTCTAGACAGACACAAGGCACTGAAATGTGAGTTCTGAAGCGGAGGTATTTCCCTGACTGTCCCACCTGATGGTGGCCCACATTATCCCCTCCCGCAGATTAAGAACATGCCATGGAAGCGGGCTGTGAGCCTCATCGGAGGGCGATTTGGAAGCTGTCAGTGGAGCACGTCAGGTGAGATGAAGGGTCCACGCACTCCCACCTTCTGGATGGAGGACGCGCCTTCGTCCAAGGGCCTGAAGGCCAGGTTAGTGCCTGAAGCGCTCCAGCTGACTTTCAAAGCGGCATCTCTGAACCAAGCACTTTCACAACCCCTCTTCCTCTTCGCCAGGGACACGGCTCGGCGGGACACTACTGGCCTTCCACATGCAGGGCAAGTTTGTTCCCGGACATGGCAAAAACAAAAATTCAAAACCCCACCAATACGGACTCTATTGCGTGAACTAAATGCGCTCCAGGTTCTGTCCACCGCCAAACGCAGCCAGGACACCTCACGGCTAACTGCTCACACACCCGCAAAATAAGTGCTTCAGTTGGTTCCAAAGTCTCCAGAACAATTCGTCACGCAGTTTCTTTACTGGCCATCACTGGGCGACAGGAACGGAATACTCGGGGGCAGGTTTCTCCGTAGGCTCTGAGCACTAGTGCGGCGGGGAGGGCGCTTGCCGTGCGCGCGGCTGGGTTCAACTCCCCGGCACCCCGAGGGGCCCCCAAGCCTGCCGGGAGTAAGACCTGAGCCCTGCGCGCAGGCCGAGGTAAGGAAACAGCCGGAGCCGCCTTCTAAGGTCCGTCCGTCGAGGTCCTGGGGCGGCGCTCCTCCCCCGTCCCGCCTTTTCTTCGGGCTCAGAACTTTCCCAGACCCACCCGCCTGAGTCCAGAGCTCCACGGCGTGCCCGGCGTGCTGCTCCGTGTCGTGTTCGCGACTGCGAGTCCCACGTCGTCGGGGTGTGCGTTCCCGGTCCTGAGCGGGGCCGGGGCCGCCCGCCCACTCACGACGCGAGCCGCGAGTGTGCGTGCGCGTGCGGCCCCGCCTTCGGGCGAGCCCCGGGCCTGACCCACGGACGCGGCCCCGACGCGCCCGCCCGCCCGCCGCCCCGCCCGCCCGGCCCGCCCGGCCGCCCGTGAGGAAGCGGGGGCTGCGGCGTCGCTCCCGGCGGCCGGAGGCGGCAGGCGCGCGGACGCCGGCTCGGCTCGGGGCGGCGGGCCCGGGTTCCATCCCCGCTCCCGCCGGGGCGCCTCCCCCCGCGGGCGGGCGGGCGGGCGGCCTGAGGAGGCGGCGCGGCCCGGCCCGGCCCGGCCCGGGGGCAGCGCCGGCGCGTCCGCGTCCACAGCCGCGCCCGGCGCCCGAGCGGCGGCGCGAGGGGGCGCGGCGGCCCGGGAGCTCGCGGCGGCGGCGGCGGCCGGGCGCGCTGACGCGGGCGGCGGCGGCGCGGCTGACAGGGCCGTTGGCGGCGGCGGCGGCGGCGCGGCCGGAGGAGGGCGCAGGGCGCAGGGCGGAGGAGATCTCGCTCTCGTCTCGCCCCGCGGGAAGGGGGGAGGAGGAGACGCGACCGGCTGCGGGAGCTGCAATTACCGTGTGGGCTGCGGAATTCTCGTGGTGTTTGTCGGGGAGATGCGATAATGGCGTCCGTCCTCGCGAGAGAAGCCGCCGCTCTGCGCAGGCGCCGCGAGTCGCTCCCCGCGGCCGCCCGGCCGGCGGCGTCTGCGCATGCTCCGTGGCGCGCCGGGAGCCGAGCGGCCGGGGGCGGGGCGGGGGCGGGGGCGGGGGCGGGGCCGGGGCCGGGGCTCCGAGGCCTCCCGCGCGCGCCTTCCCCGGCCCCGCTCCCGGCCGGCGTGCGCACGCGTCGTCCTCCGGCGCCCGGGGAGGGCCCGGGCGCGCTGCTTCTCCCCCGCCGCACGCTCGGCCCCCTGCCGGGCCGGGAGGAGTCGCGTCGCAGAGCCGGCGGGGGCACTCGCGTACCCTCTGGGCTGCGAGGAATAAGAATGTGCTTCCCCTCGAGGACTACATGTCCCGGCGGGCTCTGAGCGAGCCGCGCGCGGTGCATTCTGGGACTCGCAGTCCGAGCTGAGCCTGCTGGGACTTGTAGTCTTTCCCGGCCCTGTGCCCCACGGACTTCTGGGACTTGTAGTGAAGACGCGCGGGGAATGACTGCGCGCGCAGCCCCAAGGAGCTGGTCCCCGAGCCCGACAGGCTGTGGGCCCGTCCGCCCCGCGCTCCTTCCTAGAGTTTGTCTGTGACTGAGTGCAGACAGCTCACGTGATACATCCACTCCGGTACACCGTTTTGCGGATGAGTGTGGATCATTAGTACTAGTATTTTAGCAGGATCGTTAGTATTATTGTTAGCATCAAATTTTTCTCTTGCTAGTAATTAGCACGAATTATTTCGCGTCAGTGCCCTTTTGTGGGTACCGGTCGAAAAAAATTCCCCAACTGCAGAAATGCCACTACTGATGACATGCATTTTTCTCCTTTATTTTCTGTTTTCTATGTTTTTTCAACCATCAGGAATGTCTTTGATCATCCAGACACTAGCATGGCAGTGGTGCTATTTTGGTTTGGAAAACAGAAGCTTTGCTGAGTTTCCGCCCACTTCCCGTTTACAGATAATAAAAACCTTCAGGGTTCTTGTTGTTTGGGTATTTTGCATTCGGAGCAGTCACCAGCTGTGCGACCCTGAGCAACCTTATTGAGTAAGAGCTTCTTCCAGAATTAACACTGGCAGCTCTACTGAGGCACACCGCTGAATTCCTTTGCAGGCACCCGTGCCTCGGATTCCAAAGCAGCCCAGAAGGTCAGCCCAGCTAGCGAGCTGTGTGGACCTCAGGTGGCTGACTTGGGGTACTCAGAGAGATCTGGAAATGGCTGCCCAGACAAGCTGGCTGGAATCTGAAACACTGGCTTCTGAGGGGTGGGGGTGGGGTGGGGACTGAGGGCACAAACCACCCCCCATCTCCCCCATCCTAGGAGCAGTGGGCAGTGCCCTTTTGCCCAGCGCCACCCCTGGCACTGCTCCAAGACCAGGCTTCTCTTCACAGGGCAGAGGGGGTTGCGTGCGGGAGAGGTTTGCAATGACTCCCTGGCTGCCTGGTAGTTTGGCTCTGAACCAAGCACAATCACCGAGCCAGGCCCATGGGTGGACCTCAGGGTACACAAAGCCTAATGAACGCCCGTGCTGGGTCGGGGGTCTCCGGGGCGGGGTAAGGCCACAGTTCCGTTACAGCCTCTCCCGTGTGTCAGGCCGGACGCAGCTTCACAGATCTGTGAAGTCACTAAAAGTTATTGCCCAAGAGTGTGACGCAGGGCAGAGAGCTTGCACAGGAGGGCAGCGCTTACCTTGCATGCTGTGGCGGCTCAAAGGAGGCCAGGGTGTCCTGTGAGTGCAGTATGGGTTGCCCAAAGCAACCTGTGCTCAGCGGTCACTCCTGACGGTGCCAGAGGACCCTCTGCGTTGCTGCCTCCTACCCAGGTCCACTACGTTCAGGGCAAGCCCTGCTCGCTGTCCTGTTCCTCCAGCCCTGTATACATATATTCTTGTTGTACGTATAGTCCCGTGCTGTGGAGAAGTCTGTATTAGGTTTGCGTGTGCCTGTGCACATGTGCATATGTGTATGTGCGTGTGCCCATGTGTGTGTCTGAGTGTGCAGATGTGTGTATGTGTGTGCCCGGGCGTGTGTCTGTGTGTGTGCCTGTGCATGCGCCTATGTGCCTGTGCAGATGTGCGTTTGCTCGTGCAAGTGTCTCTCTGTGTACAGATGTGTGTATGCATGTACCGTGCATGTGTGTATGAGTGTGTCTGTGTGCATGTTCAGGTGTGTGCGTATGCTCATGCATGTATCTGTGTGCATGTTCAGGTATGTGTGTGTGCGTGTGTCTTTGTGCATGTTCAGGTGTGCGCATGTGCCCGTGTGTGTATCTGTGTGCATGTTCAGATATGTGTGTGTGCGTGTGCCCGGGAGTCTGCCTGTGTGGCCTGCCCGCACTGCCCTTTGCTCTACCGCCGTGGGTGCCTGCCACCCTCCCCCTCCTGTACACATTCTCGTGCTGTTTTCTATATGCATAGCTCAGCCTCATTCCCGGGGATGAACATCAAGACCAGGACGTGACCCCTCTTTCACTACCGGCACAGATGCTCAGAAAACTCGGACAAGGGGGCTTTTGGCCACTATCGACCTGGTTCTAGTGCAATGACCAGGCACCTGTCCTCAGCAGAGGTCACTGACCCTGGGACCAATTGACCCTAAGCCAGTCTGGACAGCACCCCTGCAGCCGTCTGTGCAGAGTTGAAATTTAACCACTGGGTCAGGGTCTGGGGGCGTCTCGGTACTGGGCGTGCTCTGCTCATGGGTCCAGGCGGAGACTGACCGGATGGTTCACCCTCTCTTTGCTGGGAAAGAGACCTAGAGATCTTGGGAAATAGACCAAGATGCTAAGAACCCCAATGCTGGGCAGGGGGCTTTCGCCGCCCTGGATAGGATCCCTTTGGGGCCCCCACCACCCCCCACGGCTGACACGGGCACACTCACACGGTCCCTGCACTCAGACGGGCAGGAACGTCGCTTGTAAGTAGCCCCAGGTCTCTGCGCACATGGGGTTTGCGGGCGTGGTGATCGGAGCCCGAGGTACGGCACTTCTGCTGGGCTTTGCGTGGTGTCCAGAGAGTGCGGTCCCCTCAGAGGGAAAAGAGGGTCCTTGAAGTGAGGTGCTACTTGGCACAAGCCCGCGAGTCTGTGTCTGACAGAGTCCAGGGGGACGTCAGCAGCAGAAGGGTTTACGGTGACACATATGTCCCTTTGCCCCCTTTGGGCTAACGCCTGCATGGGCTCAGCCTGAGAACCCCAGGCTTGTGGTGTGGGCTTGGGGCGCAGCCCAGGGGGTCCTGCCTGTCTCCCAATCCTTGGGGTGAGGCGCCTGCCTGCCACCGGTCCTGAGTCATGGGCCCCTTGCTCTGTGCCCCAGCTTGGCCACGCTGCAAGTGAGCTATCTCCCCGCCAAGCTTCCTTCCACGCGTGCAGGGGCAGGAAACAGCCGCGACTCTAACTGGAGGGTGCCCGGGCCTAGGCCTGCCCTGAAGAGCCCTCACAGTGGCCAGCACTGCCCAGTGCAGGCCGCAACTGAGGGCCTCGTGTATCAGGGAGACAGTCAGCATCTGGTGCTCCGGCTGGGACACCGTGTTCTCACTGGGAGCCAACACACGGCAGCCCGGGTCCGGTTCCCAGCATGGTCTGTGTCCCCTGAGAGCTGCCAGTTGGGCCCCCAAAGAAAAAAGAATAAAACAGATGTAACCCTCGGCACCCCCAAGCCTGGTGGAACTAAAGATGGGCAGACAGGGACAGGACGGAGACCCTAGGGGAGGCGGAGCGGGCTTGACCACACAGCCAGAAATGTCCCCCACCAGGGACCTAGGAGGGACTTCCTTGGGGACAGTGCCCATGTCTCCCCTGAGGCTGGGGACCCCACCATCTGCTCCCCCATACCCCCCACAGTGCACCCCCTCTGGAAAGGTCCAGTCCCCGTGCCGGGAGGCAGCCGCCAGTCCCCGATCAACATCAGCCGGAGGGACAGTGTGTACGACCCCCAGCTGCCACCACTCAGGGTTGCCTATGACGCGGCCACCTGCCGGCACATTTGGAACACGGGCTACTTCTTCCAGGTGGAGTTCGACGACTCTACTGAGGGATCAGGTGAGGTGGAGCAGATGAGGGGAAATCAGTTGAGGGGGAATCAGGTAAGAGGGGTCAGTAAGGGGGGGTTTGGGTAAGGGGGGATCAGGTTATGGGGACCAAGTAAGGGGGGATTAGGTAAGGGGGTGATTTGGCGAGGTGAAGTTTCTGCCACAGAAAATTCCTATTAAAAGCCGGAACTGTCCTGGCTGGCTTCTTCCTCCTCGTCTGCTCTTCCGCTCTGGACTGCAGTGACTGTAGGCAGTGACCACGGGCAGACTCTGGAAGTGCGGGGAGGGGGTGTCGGCCTCTGTGCCCAGCAAGCCCCCGGCAGCCAGTGAAGACAGGGTTGTGGGTGCAGGTTTTGCCACACGGGGGCGCTGGTGCCAGCCACAGCAACACCAAGAATGGGTAAGCGACAGCTGGGCCCAGAGTGTGATCACAGCAGGGGGGGCCGCTTACCTTGCCTGAAGGCCTCGAATAGGGACACCCTCATGCCACAGGGGTGCTTGGGGCCCCGCTGGGACGTACCTCCGGGCTCACGTGTCCAGGTGCGGCTGTCACACACTCAGCCCACTGGGAGGCTGAGTCTCACGACTGATGCTCTCTCCCGAAAGGCAGCCTTTTCCTAAATTCAAGTCGGGAACGCAGGGGCTGGAGCAATAGCACAGCGGGTAGGGCGTTTACCTTGCACGCGGCCAACCCGGGTTCGATTCCCAGCATCCCATATGGTCTCCTGAGCACCGCCAGGGGTGATTCCTGAGTGCAGAACCAGGAGGAACCCCTGTGCATCGCTAGGTGTGACCCAAAAAGCAAAACAAAAAAAAAGGTCAGGAACGCTGCGGCCCAGCCCCTGCGGATGGTCCTGGGCACCCCATACCCATGGGCACTGCTCCAGTGTGCAGACAAGCCCAGGCTTGCACCCAGACTGGGGCCCACCTCCCAGGAGGCAGCCCGAGGTGCCCTCACGCATGTCCTGGCGCCTTTGCAGGGGTCAGCGGGGGTCCCCTGCAGAACCACTACCGACTCCGGCAGCTGCACTTCCACTGGGGGGCAGCTGACGCGTGTGGATCGGAGCACACGGTGGATGAGCACGTGTACCCGGCTGAGGTGCGTGGACACGGCCCGGGCCGTCCCCCAGCATCACCGTGTGACGAGCTGCGGAGGCCACGAGGCGGCCCCTGCCCGGGAGGGGTGTGGGGGGCGCTGCAGCTAGCCTCCCACAGGGATGGGGTGTGCCTGAGCACTTGCCACGCCCGGGGCCAGGGCCGAGCGTGGGGCCAGCTGACATGCCGGCCCCCTGGACTCGGGAAAGCTCCGCAGAGTCAAGGTCAGGGTGAACCGGCCTCCGCACTTGCCCCAAACTCGGGTCTCCACCACCGCAGATTCTTGGGTGAGCTTGTCGAGGGAGGGGGCAGGTCAGGGGAGTCCCCGCAGTGCGGCGTCGACGGGACCCCCTTCCCACCTCCCCCCAAGCATGGTCCCCGAGATGTAGCAGGCGTGGCAGGGGTGCGGGGAGGTGGGTGTGGGGTCCTCAGGGTGGACCCCTTTCTGTGGCAGCTGCATGTGGTACACTGGAACGCTGTGAAGTACCCGAGCTACCAGGCAGCGGCGGGCGGCCCCGAGGGCCTGGCAGTGCTGGCCGTCCTCCTCCAGGTGGGTCCGCCCGCCTGCTCCTGCGTCCCGCTGTGCCCGGCCGGCTCGCTCCGACCTCCCCCCCCCCGCTCTGTCCTCCGCTCCCGACCCCGCACCCCCCGGCCTCTGTGTTCTCCTCGTCCCCCCTTTGGCTGTCCTGGAGCCTCGCCCTCCTCTCTACGGGGCCTTGCCAGGTGTCACTGCCCCCTCAGCCCCAGCCCAGCGCTGCTGTGTGAATCTGGGGTCCCAGAATGGTCAGCGCCGCAGCTCACAAGCCGCCCCTGTTCCACAGCTGGGGGCCCCACACCAGGCCCTGCAGACGCTGGTGGACATCCTGCCAGCCATCAGGCACAAGGTACAGGCCGGGCCCAGGGGGGAGGGGTCGAGGGACGGGGTGGGGGGCTGTGGAGACCAGCCCCGTCCTGCTGCCCCCCCACCAGGCCTTGTGCTTTGTGGGACGTTTTTCCGAAGCCACTGGGGACTCCTGAGCTGACCCGCCCCACTAGCCCTGGAGGACTTTGGTGCCCCCTCAAGGGGAACTTTGGGGAGTCCTGGCTGCGAGCCCAGACCCCAAGGTCGGGAGGACAATACCCCTCTCCCAACACCAGCTGAGGAAGGGCTTTGAGGGAGAAATGGAAATTCCAGAGAAATACAGTTTATTTGTTCGAAAGCAAACAAAAGAATTCTGAGACGATGGAGCAGGCCGGGCCGTGGGACGGGTGGGCTCGGGGGCCTGACAATGACCCAGCCGCCTGGCCAGGGCCGCAGCCCTTCCTCCCGCACATGAGGGACCCTTTGATCTGTCCAGAGAGCCCCTTGATGTCGCCCTCCCGCGCCCAAGGCCAGTGCGAGTGACCCCCCGCTGGCCAGCCGCCAGGTCACCTGGGCAGTCTGCACAACAGGCCCCCGAAGGACGGGAAACAGCTGGCAGGGAGGTGCCGCCAGGCTCCCTGCTGGCCTCTGCGCGTCTGTCCCCCCTGGAAGGGCCACGGGCCTGGCTGGGGGACCTACAGACGGGCACCTGGGGCCACTGTAGCCACGGGGTGGCCAATCTCGGCTCTGTGCAGCCCTCAGAGGGACCCACAGCCCTAGGCTGAACCCCTGCAGCTCTGCCCCGACCTGAAGTATGCACAGAGGTGCAGCCGGCGGGCACCACAAGGCCTGCCCCACCCTGTTGACTTCAGTGAGGTGTGCAGGCCACGATGCACGCAGCACTCAGCCTCGTGAGCTCCCGGCCACAGGGAGACGCGCCTGGGTGCTGCCACAGAAGCTCCCGCGTCCCCAGTGCCAATGGTGAACTTGGGTTTGCAAGTGGCTGAGAATGAATGAAAAGGTGGGTGGATGGCGGTGGGGAGTGTGGGGGGGGGGATGGTGGATGGCGGGTGTGTAAGGGTGTGTAAAATCCCCTCTCTCGGAGCTGTGTGAACACTCTCGTGCGGGGTTACTCATTAACAGATGTTTGCGGGCTCCCGGGCGATTCTCTCTCTCGCCGCCCGCATTCGGTGCTCTTGAGCTGCTCCTCCACCCGGGACGGCTGTTGCCTTGGACGGACGAAGGAAGAACGAGGGTTAAGCTGGTTGCTGACCAGTTGCCTTTTATTCCATCTCTCGCCTCTCCCAGCTCTCTCCAACCCTCTCTCACTCGCCCTGCAAGGCTCTCTGTGACTCTCCCCAACCTCCCCAGTCCGTCTCACTCTCCTCTCAGCCCTCTCTCGCGGGCTTCTCCTCCAACTCAGTCTCTTCCTGTCTCCGTCTCCTTCAATCCCCCCTTCTCCCCGCAGCCGCTCTTTTTTCCCTCCCTCCACGCCTCCCCAGCCAGCCTCCCCATGGGAAGCGTGATCAAAAATGTTTTCCCGGTTTCCCGACCACCTGCAGCCCACAAGGGCAAAACAGCCCTGAAGGTGTGTTTCTCCTCCCCTTAGACCTGCAACTTAATTAACATCTTTAATTCTACTTCCTGGTAGTTACCATTCTGTATGGACACAGAAAGAGACACTTTTAGGCTTGTAGGGTGACTCTCCTGGGGACATCTCGCTACAGACTCAGACTACAGTGCTCAGGCCAGATTAATCATTCCTAACCCCAGCAGGGTCCAAATCTTTTTTCTTATTACTTTTGGATCGTGACAGAATTTGTCCATGACCAAGCTCTTAACTTATAGTTAAGCATTAGGGCATTTGGCCAGGCCCATTTCGATGCCAGGGTATCTCATAGCTCACCACTCGCCCTGGGTCCAGTCCCTCGTCGGAACCCTGCTTTGGGGGATCTAGGAAGTAAGGACAACTGAGGCTTAAGTCGAGAGAGCAGATGTCCGGGAGGTCTATTATCTGGAGTCAATCAACTCCCAAGCCACAGGCTTGTCTTGTTTTTTTGGCTTTTTGGCTTCTGGGGGGTCACACCTGGCAATTCTCAGGGGTTACTCCTGGCTCAAGCACTCAGGAATTACTCCTGGCGGTGCTTGGGGGAGCATATGCTGGGAATCTGCCGCAGCTGTGCTATCGCTCCAGCCCCCCAGGCTTGTCTTCTTAACAGTCTTCCTGTATCCATAAAAAAAGCAATTGCTATGAAATAACTAACCATGCAAAGGACAGTAAGGAGAAGAGAAAGACAATATTGACAGTCAGAGTCTGATCAGGAGACAGAGGTAATTGACAGGTTGGGGGGCAATCAACAAACACAAGCTCCCAGGGGCCAGGGAGGAAGGATGAGACAACATTATCCTACAGGGGTGGGTGGGTGGGCGGTGGATGGCAGGTGGGGGGTGCATGGTGGGGGCATCAATGGTCAGCTCAGAATCCATCCCTGTATTCCTGGAAAATTGGAAACCCTAAAACCAGGCCTTCGAGAAGGGGTACTGAAGGGTCACCCAGGCATGGCCTGACGGTGTGACCCTGAGGGAAGGTGGCCTTGCAGTAGAACCTGGCCCCAGCAAGGGCCTCAGGGAGGAAAGTGGTTTCCCTGAAAGGTGACATTTCCGGCCACAGAAACAGTCACAGGGGGGCGGGGGGGAGTGTGAAACATTGAGCCCAGGTTTGCCAGGGGCCCAGCAGCCCCGTTTGAGGGGGAGCAGGGCATGGGAGAGCTGTGCCCGCCCCATCAGCATGAGGGTGGAGGGTGGGTGCCTGGTCGCCATGGCACCCCCGGGACACACCGTTTTCCACCCTGCTGCTGACAATGGGGTCACGGAGGCTGGAGACACGCAGTCCACCCGGATCCATGCCAGCCAACCATGGTCCCCTACGTCAGCCCCCAGGAGTCAGCCCTGAGCACCAACAGGGGCGGCTGGGCCAGGGTCTGTCAGTCGGGGGTGACCCTTTCTGCCCGAGGTATGTGAGAAGGGCCTTTGCGCGGCACCCACTCCAAACAGGGCTCATGAGCTTGCCACTGACCCGAAGGTGACCCCCGTGGCCTCGGGCCTCTACTTTGGAGGCACATGACCTCCCTGCTGACACAAAGACGAGGTTTTCCTTCTCCTGCCCAGGACACGCGGGCAGCACTGGGCCCCTTCCAGCCGGCCTCGCTGCTGCCGGCCTGCCCTGACTACTGGACCTACCCGGGCTCCCTGACCACACCGCCCCTCAGCGAGTCGGTCACCTGGATCGTCCACAAGACACCCATTGAAGTGTCCCCCGCCCAGGTGAGCGCCCACAGCACCCCTGATCTTTGGGCTTCGCCTGGGGTGGGCGAGGGCAAGTGGCGGCCCCAGAGACGTGCCAGAGTGTTCCCGGGGTGACCCACACGTGGGGGAGCTTGCGTGGCCGAGGATGGACCCTAGGGACCGGCGCTGTGGGCGCACCACCACCCGCTCTTCTCCAGGGGTGCCGTGCGTGGACCCGCAGCTCCCCCCAGGGAAGAGCCCTGCCTACCTAGGAGGGACCCTCTCCTGGGGCTCCCAAGGATTTCCCGTTTTCTGGTGCCGTTCTCTCCTGTGTGAGGCCGTGCGGCCAGGGGCCAGCCCGTGAGCTTCCCCAGGCCCTCCCACCGACGCTGAGAAGATGTCATGAGCACCCACCAAGGGTCCCGGGGGCCCAGGGAGAAGGCCAGAGCAGCCCCGCCTCAGAGCACCTAAACCAGTTCTCTCCCGCTGCCGTGGACCCGGGGTGCTCGGTGACTGGGATCCTCAGTGACTGGGGTGCTCATGACTCACGGTGCCTGGTGTTTTGGGGCGGCGGCCGGGCTGCCGGCTCGCTCCCCAGCCCCACGAGGACCTCAGACCCTGCCGGGCGCCAGTGCGCTGTGGGCTGGGCGCGGCCCCGCCACTCACTCGGCTGCTCTCCCGCAGCTGGCTGCCTTCCGTGCGCTCCTGCTGTCGGCTCGCGGTGAGGAAGAGAGGGCGATGGCCAACAACTTCCGTCCCGTGCAGCCCCTCATGGACAGGAGGGTCCGCGCCTCCTTCCGGGCCGCCTGAGCTTGTGATGCCTGGAACGGGGGAGAGCTGAGCCCCGCCAGCGCCAGCTCCCCGGGCCGGTCACGTGGAGCCTGCAAATGAAATAGGGAGAAAACTCGGGGGTCGCTGTCCGAGTCCTGCCAGCTGGGACCCTCCTGGGCTGCAGAAGCCCCTTCAGAGCAGCTCCCGGGCCTGGACTCACCCAGCCCCGAGGCCCCTCCATGTCTCAGCCGCACCACCTACCACTTGTGGCCCACACTGCCTTGCTCCATCTCCTACCAGAGTCCGACCGCTGGGAAGCTTTATCTGCGCCCCCTAAGTCTGAAACACAGAGGGCCACATCGTCCCTCCTGGGAGTGGACAGGAGGCCGTGGGCAGCTGTGCCCAAGTCCAGGCTGGGCATCCATCCAAGTCCAGCATGAAGACAAAAGGCAGGCGCATGCTCTGGGTTTGGGGTCAGGGCGGTCTGTGTCCCCCTCACCCGACAGGCAGAGAGGTCTCCCAGCCTCCACTTGGCAGGGGCTTCTCTTGTCCAGATCCCGGCCTGGATAAGCACCTGCTTTTGAGGCCTTTCTATGGCTGCAGCCGCAGACTTTCTCCTCTGTAGAGACTCAGCTTGACCGTGGGGCGGTGGAGCCCAGCCTCGCCAGCCAGCTCTGGGGCCCCGTGGTGAGGGAGCGGGAGGGCCAGGCCCACAGCTCACCAGGGGCCTGAGATGAGGTCAAGGGTGGCTTGTGCGGGCAGAGGGGGGTTCCTTCTCCCTGTTTCAGGGTCTCCTGCAGTCTCCACAGGGACTGCCTGGACCTCTGGCCACGGAGACCCCCCACGCACACACACGCATGCACACATGCACCTTCCCTCCCAGGAGAGCATCCCTGCTCCTGGCTTCCTGGGCACACAGGCCGCGGTCCCCAGCCTGCAGCACGGGCAGGACAGAGGGAGGGACCCTTAGGTGTGGTTTTGCCCCAGATTATTGTCTCTGGGGAGACCTCGCCATTCCTGAGTCTCTCATGAAATGGATCTCAGGCCACCCGGAGAGCCTCGGGCTGTAGGATGGAGGAGCCGCGTGCTGGTCCTGCCCCCTTAGTGGGACGCTGCCGTGTCATAGCCTCTGTGTGACCCACCCTCTCCCTGCAGAGACCCCACCCCACCCAGCGACACAGCTCAGCCCACAGATCAGGATTGCAGGGGCACCCGCTGCACAGCGTGGGCAAGTGCCCTAGCACAGCACTCCCTGTGATGCAGTGCTCTGGAACTGCTTGGTTGCACAGGACTTTCCATGACAGAATGTTCTAGAATTGTTCTCTCCCATTGTACTTCCTATGATGGTGGGACATTCGGGAACTACTACATTCCCTTGTACTTCCGACACTGTTCTGGAATTGCTGTCTCCCACAGCACTTTCTCTAATAGAATGTTCTGGAACTGCTCTGTCTCATCGCACTTCCTACGATGAAACATTCTGGAACTTCTATCTCTTCCGTGGATGGAAGGCTCTGGAATTGCTCAGTCCTTGAGCACTCTCTGTGACAGAGGCACATTTCGGCACGATGCCGTTGCCCAGCATTTCCTGTGCTGCTGCTCTGTCATCACGGGCAGTCCACCACGTGCCCTGTCAGTGGGATTAGCTCCGACCGCACAACAGCAGCGTGACACACCCTCAGCGCAGAAGGCCAGCGTCCCTGTCAGCGCGGAGGGCGCTGAGCTGAGTGTCGTCCGTGGGAACCGCGAGGCCGCGCTCCGGGCCCTGCCCTGGCCTCCCTTGAAGGAAATCTGGGAGCCCTCTCAGGCCCGCAGGCCCAGGGCCACAGAGCCGAGCCTCGGGTGTCACCGCGCCTCCTGGGAGTTGGAGGGCGACACGGCCCCGCAGCTCCCAGGACCTCCGCAAAAGTCCGCTGGGACAGGACATGGGTCGGCTTTCCCACGAGTGGGCCGGCCGGGAAGCGCGAGTCTGAGGACGCTGGAGCCCTCAGAGGAGCCCCGTCGCTCCCAACGACGAGCAGGCCCCTCACGAACCCCACCCTGCCCACAGGACCCCGCCCCTCACGGGACTAAGCCCCCCAGCGGACCCCGCCCCTCACAGGACCCCCAACCTTTCACAGGACCCTGGTCTTCACAGGGCAAAGCCCCCTCAGAGGATCCCTCCCCTCACAGGACCCCGCCCCTCACGGGACCGAGCCCCCCTCTCCGGACCCCCAACCCCCTCGCAGGACCCCGCCCCCATAGGACTCCGCCCCCTCACAGGACCCCGCTCCTTACGGGACAAGGCCCCCTGACAGGACCCCCAACCCTTCACAGGATCCCCAACCCCCTCAAGGACACCGCCCCCTGAAAGGACCCCACCCCTCGCAGGACCCCGCCCCCGTAGGACTCTGCCCCCTCAGCCCCCCTCACAAACCCTCCCCCCACAGGTCTCTGCCTCGCCCCCAGCCCCAGAACTGGCCGCGGTTTCCGCCACGGGAGGCGCGTGCCACGTGCCTGTCTCTGCCCGCCTGGAGGTCAAGGCTGCCCGCCGCCCCGCCGTTTGCTCCTGGCAACCTCCCGCCCCACCGTCCCCCGCTCCTGCTCCTCCTCGGTGCGGGACGGGACACAGGTGCAGAGACGGTCGCCCAAGTGGACCCCTCCGCCTCCCCAGTACCGAATCCCCATTCGCAAGTGGTGGTCCTTGGCCCCCCATACTGCTGCCCCTGGGGCCCCCTCCCCGACGTGTGCCTGGGGGCTAGTCTCAGCCCAGACACCCTTCCCTGGGACTGTTGTGGTGGAGCAGGACCTGCCTCCCACGCCTGCCCGTGGGACGCCAAGATCCCCAGCTGTGGTGCTCACAGGGAGGGGGCCCTACTTCGGGTTTCAGGGCTCACACACTCACACAGTTGTGGTGCTTGATCCGCTACAGTGCTCAATACTTAGTTACAGTGCTCCCACACTCGGCTGCAGTGCTCAACCGTGAGGTGGCGGGGCGGGGCATGTGCGCCTGGAGCTCACACTCGGCTGAGCCCACGGCTATAGTGGTGGCAGGCACGGAGGGTGCAGGGCGCCGTGATGCCGTCCCACTTCTTGCTGTGGCATCATTTTAGTCGGGGCGCTCTGGGGGGGAGGTTGGCTCCCCTTTCCTGTGGTGCTCACATACACGTGGCTGAGGTGATCTGGAAGCTGCTCCTGGCTCTGAGCGGCCCGGACAAGCCCAGTGCCTGTGGGCCAGGAGGGGTTTGAACTCACGGCCACGTGCTCGGAAGGCCGCGTCTCCTGGCGCAGGCCCGGGGTTGAGTCTCACAGCACGTGTTCCCGGGCCTGGCCCCCACAGACGATGGCCCGTCAAAGACAGCGTGTTCCTCCAGAGTCTCTCAAATAGCAGAGGGCGGCCGCAGAAAGGCTGAGCAGAGACCGCCAAGGTCAACAGAACCCAAACTCACTGGACGAGTTTATTTATTGCTTTTGCTTCGTGGACCACACTTGGTGCTGCGAGGGGCTTACTCCTGGCTCTGTGCTCTTAGTGGGCTCAGGGGACCATATGGGAAGCCGGGGTTTGACCCTGGTTGACCACCTGCAAGGCAGCTCTTTACCGGCTGGACCTTTGCTCTGGCCCCGGACAAGTTTATTTTTGTTAATTTTGTTTTGTTTTGGAGCCATTCATTCTCTCGGTAGTTCTTGAGGCTTGCTCTTGGCTCGGTGCTCAGGGATCACTTCTGCTGGGGCTTGGGGGACCAAACCCAAACGGGGTGCTCAGGATCGAGGCGAATGCCCTCCCCGCTCAGGCCCCTCATTTGACAAGTTGAGATGGAGTGAGCCGGGAGCCACGTGCAGCAGGGGTGAGCGGGAGTGAGAATAAGAATAAGGAGTAAGCAGGAATAGCGGGAGGAGCAGGGGGGGGGGCAGGACCGACCGGGAAGGAAAAGGAAAGAGCAGGGAAGAGGGGGGAGGAGCAGGCATTCGTGGGCGAGCAGGAGTGCGCAGGTGCGGGGCAGGTGTCGCTTCTGAGATGAATTTCCTTGACGCCTCAGCACGGCAAGTTCAACGTGATCTTGGACTCGCCACCCGCTTCCCACACGCAGATGCAGGCCGCACTCTGGAGGTGGCCATGGGTGTCGGCTCCCACGTCTCCGAAACGTTCAAACGCGAATCAACAGGAAGAAAAGCTCCTCTGTTTCCGCAGCCCGAGATAGCCGGCGGCCTGCGCTGAAGGTTAAGTCTGTATATTTTCTCAGCAAAGAGATTATTCTCGGTCAGAATTTCCTGTATCAGTTTGGGTTTTGTTTTAAAGTAGCATTCAAGCAGAGGAATTATTTTCAAGTCAAGTGGAAATCTTCTGATCTTTTTCTAGACTCTGGAAATCCCGGGGGCCATTCCAGATGGTCTCGGTCCCCAACACAAACATGAATCAAAGGTGCTGGGGTCCAGCGGTCAGCATGGACGCATCCTGCCCCCGCCCCGAGATCTGCTTTATTCTTCCAGAATAAGGAAAAGCTTTTTTGCACACCTGATTAGGTCGTCGCGCTTTGGGGTGCCCTGAGCCCCTCCCCAGCATCCCAGAAAACGAAAACCCACACAGAACCCGCTTCCTCAGTCGCTCCTCCTGCCCCTCTTCCTGGCTGGCTCTGAGCGGGGGATGCACTTATGGACGAGCCCTGGAACTGGAGGCACCAACGCCAAGCGCCAGGGTGCAGGGAGGGTGTGGTCAGCAGGGTTCAAGAGGACCCAGTGTTCTGGGGGCCTGGGGTGCGAGAGTCCCAGGAGGCAGGTGGGGAGCTGTGCAGACGCCCGTGGGTGACTGTGGGATGCTTGTTTGGGAGCCGTGCGGTGAGGGTGGTCGAGGCGGTGGGCACGGGGACCGCTGGACCTGGGCTTGCTCTGGGGGTCTCGGGCCAGGCTGGGCAGCCCTGGGCGCAGGTGAGTCTTGTCTTCCTGAGCTGCCCACCTCTGCGCACTGGGCTGAGCCTCGAAGTGGGGCCTTGCAGGGCGTGTGAAGGAGACCGGCGAGAAGGTGCAAGAAGGTTCCGGTCTCCTCCCTGCCTGGTGCTGAGTCACCCCGGGAAAGGGCCAGACCCGCAACCACACAAAGGCAGGTCCCGGGAGTGGGGGCCCAGCAGCCAGCGCCGACACGTGATGGCGCCGTCACCCCACAGCCACGGGCGGGTCACCCTGAAGCGGCCACGGCTGAGCCACTCTGGATGTCTTTGGGGTTACGCTTGCCTGGTGCCCCACGTACATACGGGGACCATTTGTGGAGTGAGCCCTAGGTGTGGCGTGAGGTAATACCGCAGGAACAGTGGTGGCCTGCTGCCGGTGTCTGCTGGACACTTCACCTGACTCGGTCAGGCCCGTCCCCCCTTTCCAATAGGCAGGCAGGAAAAAGCTCCGGCCGCTCACAACGCAGGCAGGCTGCTCACGGAGCCAAGACGTTCCGAGGAGGGAAGGACACTCGCCAGCAAAGGAGCCCAAACATCCCTCGGGAGCTGAGATCCGCACGGCCCGCTCCCCACGGCCCCGTGGGCACCAAGACCTGCACAGCATCCGTCGCCCTTGAGATGGGCCTGCACCCCACGGGGAAGCCTTCGGTCCCCCTGGAGCTTGCTGTGCTGATCTGATTCCAGCCGGGGGGGGTGAGGGGCACGGGGAAGGAAGGGGTGAAGTCAGACACTGCCTGCACCCCCAGACGGCCTCCTAAGATGAGGGTCTGAGTTCCCAAAGAGGGGGCATCCAGACACAGCCGTGCCCGCTGGGGCCCTGTCCACCCCTCTCTGCGTCCCACCTGAGTGTCTAGCAAGTTGCCGGGCCCAGGGCTGGGGCTTCTTGTGGCTCTATGCTGGGAGCCTTGCAGGAAACTGGGGGCGGCTCTGCTGACCTTTTGGTCAGTTTCTTGTGCTGGTGCTGAGGTTGTGGAGCTGTAAAAGACCCACATAGCACCTGGATCGTCTGGATCCCAGAGAAAGTTCTATGGTGGGATTCCTGGGGGTGAGGGACACTGAGCTCAGGCACTCCCTGGCCTCTCTGCAAAGCTGGCCCATGGCCAGGGTGTGCATGTGTGCGGGGGGGGGGGGGGGGGGGGATGAGGGGAGACGTCCTGGCAGCGCCCAGCCAATAGGCAGTGAAATCTGAAGGACAAAGAGGCCTTTGTCCCTGCCACCGGCAGAGGGAGCCCTCCGCTCAGGCTGCAGGTTGGAGTGGCCCTGAGGGGCAGCCTGGGGTCCAGCACCATGAGGCCCCACTCAAGCTTTCTCGAGACCTCGCAGTGCCCAGTGCTCTGGGCCTCACCAGCTCTTCTGCAGATGAGACAGACGTGGAGGGCGTGTCGGGCCCCCCTCCCGCAGCGATGGAGGTGGGCGCCCTGTGCTTGCTCTGCAGGAACGGGTGTGCCCATCACATGAGACCCACGCGGTGTGCGGCACTCCGCTCTGCATTCCTTCCTGCATGCGGGTCCGTGAGGACGGGGCTCCCAAGCCCGGCTGGCAGGGTCAGTGGGGGCCGTGAGCGCACGGACACAAGCAGGATGCAGTGGTGGCAGCGTGAGGACCAAGGGCTCTGGCCAGCCCCTCCCTGCAGCACCCTCCGTCCCCACCTTAGTTCTCACTTGGAAAAGCCAGATCAGCCTCCCAGTTCCTCCTTCTTTTTTTTTTTTTGTTTACTTTTAGGGTCGCACCTGGTGATGCTCAGGATGCTGGGATTCGAACCCCAGTCGGCCGCATGCAAGGCAAATGCCCTACCGGCTGTGCTATGGCTCCAGCCCCCTCCCGGTTCCTTCTGAGCAGCTCTCACGTGTGACACTGGCCCCTGTGGTGGAGGAGCCAGCTGGGGGGGTGGCACCCGCATTACTTGGGCCAGGGGTGGCTTCCTCGAGGCTGTCCAGCCTTAGCTGCCATTGGCTGCAGCCTTAGTCTAAGGAACTCAGCTGCGAAGGGGGGGGCGGGGCGGCGGCTGAAAGCAGCTTCTGACTGTGAGGGGCTGGGGCCCAAGAGAAGGCGCAGTGGGGAGGGCACTTGCCTTGCACGGGCCAACCCCAGTTCCATCCCTGGTGAGCCCTGAGCACAGAGCCAGGGGTCAGCCTGAGCACTGCTGGTCGGGGCTTGGTGGGACCAACTAAACGTGCAGCCAAGCCTGTCTCCTTCCTGCAGAAGCGCCCCCGGGGCCCCTGGAGCGGATTCGACGGGGCGAGCTCCCGAGGCCAGCCTGGCTCGAGTGCTCCCCGGCCCGCAGGCGTGATGCCCGCCAGGGCCACACGGAGCGGTCACCGTGGGGGTGGTCCGGAACACGCTGCCCGCTCACGCGCCGGCACGGCCCGGGGGAGCGGCCGCTTCCCGCTGCCAGCCCGGGGAGGGGGTCTCCCACGCCCGCCCGCCCGCCCGCCCGCCGCGGCCGGCGCTGGGCACCTCTCCGGCCGGGCCCCGTGCCTCGAGGAGGGCTGCGGCCGAGGCCCTTCGAGACCCCGGGCCGCGGGGGGCCGGGGGCTCCGCGCGCAGGGGCGAGCGGCGGTGGCGCCGGGAGCCTCGGGTGCGGGGCGCGGGCCGAGCCGCTCGCCCCCACGTGCGCGGGCCCCGGGCGGCGGGCGGCCCGCGGGCCGGCGGCGGCGGGGGCGGGGCGGCGGCGGGGCTTGCGCGCGGCGCGCGCGGGCCAATGGCGCGCGGGCGGGGCGGGGCCGGCGCGCGCGGGCCAATGGCGCGCGGGCGCGCGGGGCGGGGCCGGCGCGCGCGGGCCAATGGCGCGCCGGCGGGCGGCGGGGCGGGGCGGCGCGGGCTTACAAGAGCGCGGCGCGCGGCGCGGCGGTCCTGCGGGCCCGGCGGCCATGGCGGGCGCGGGCGCCAGGCGGCGCGCGGCGGGCGCGGGCGCGGGCGCGGGGCCGGCGGGCGACGAGGAGCCGGCGCGCGAGCGGATGCTGGCGCCGGCGGGCGCGGGCGCGGGCGCGGGCGAGGGCGAGGCGGTGGCGCTGCAGCGCAGCATCACGCTGCTCAACGGCGTGGCCATCATCGTGGGCACCATCATCGGCTCGGGCATCTTCGTGACGCCCACGGGCGTGCTCAAGGAGGCGGGCTCGCCGGGGCTGGCGCTCGTGGTCTGGGCCGCCTGCGGCGTCTTCTCCATCGTGGGCGCGCTCTGCTACGCCGAGCTGGGCACCACCATCTCCAAGTCGGGCGGCGACTACGCCTACATGCTGGAGGTCTACGGCTCGCTGCCCGCCTTCCTCAAGCTCTGGGTGGAGCTGCTCATCATCCGCCCGTCCTCGCAGTACATCGTGGCGCTGGTCTTCGCCACCTACCTGCTCAAGCCCGTCTTCCCCACGTGCCCGGTGCCCGAGCCGGCCGCCAAGCTGGTGGCCTGCCTCTGCGTGCGTGAGTGCGGGAGCGGGGCGGGGCGGGGTCCCGGGGGCGGCTGGGGGAGGAGGGTCCCAGGGAAAGAATGGGGGGGGGTCCCGGAGGCTGGGAGTCGGGGTGTGTGTGTTGGGGGGAGGGGCCCGAGAGTGGGAGTCCGGGGTGTGTGTGGGCCGGGGGAGGGTCCCAGGGAAAGAATGGGGGGTCCCGGAGGCTGGGAGTCGGGGTCTGTGTGTTGGGGGGAGGGGCCCAGGGAATGGGGAGGGGCCCGAGAGTGGGAGTCCAGGGTGTGTGTGGGCCGGGGAGGGTCCCAGAGGCCGGGGGCGGGGTCCCCGGGATGTGGCGGTGCGGAGGAGGGTCCTGAGATCTGGGGGCGATCCTCGGGTGTGCCGGGGTTCTCCGCTGCCTACCTGGAAGTCTGCGCAGCGGCCGTTTTCTTCTGAGACCCCCGGGGGAAATGGGTTCTGTGCCACGTGGGGGGCCCAGGGAGTTTCTCTGCCGGCCTCCAGGCAGATTTGGCAGGTGCCAGGGTCTACCAGCTGTCTGATGAGCCCTCCAGCCCCGGCCCACCCGCCCGCCCCAGGGTGCTGCTGTGGTTCTGGAGCGTCTGAGCCGGGCAGGCCGGGCACGTGCTCCGAGCTGCTGCCGCCCTCGGGGCACGGAGCTCAGCCCCACACGGCTTTGATCCAGATCTCGGGCCAGGGGCCCAGGAGCCCATGTGGGTCACATGCCCTGCATGTGGGAGATCCCCGCTCCGTGCCCAGCACCCTCGAAACCAGGCGGCGGGCACCCAGGAAAGACGTGGCAGTCTGGACCAGGACCCGGCCTGGCAGCAGAGAGTGCGGTTGGGACACGGGGTGCCTTGGCACCCAAGTTAGGGAGGCCTCGGCAAGCAGCGGCCTTGTGGGCTCCTGTGGCCGGCAGGGCCAGGACCCCCGCGTGCTGCACGTGAGGGGCAGCTAGCCTCATCTCTGGTGCGGGGCTCAGGCTGGCAGATACCAACCAGTATGGACAGACCTGCAGCCACAGAACCCCTGCCTGGGGCCAGCCCAGCCCTCCTGGCGGCCGTCTCCTGCCTCTCTGGGCACTGGCCAGCCTTGCCACCTCCCAGAGCCCCCTGGGGGGGCAGGGTCGGCGCCAGGCGTGCCATGGCGCCCATTCCCGGCTGCCGGGGAGCCCAAACCATGGGGAGCTGCCCCTCCGTCCTCTGGATGCCTGGGGGTTTGGGGCCGCTCCACACACCCTCGCGCCCATGACACCCTGCTTTGGTGCTTTGAGCCCAGCACCACTCAGTGACCAGCACTGAGGCCCCACGTCCAGCCGGGCGGCCTTGACAGGCGCCGTGACCCCAGAGGGCGCTGGGCTGGCATCTCGCCCTCTTCCCTGGGATGCCCTCCCCGCTTCAGCCCTTCCCCTGGGGTCAGGGACTTGGGGCACTGGTCACCGTTCAGGGAGGCGCAGACTGCCCACCACGCTCCCCTGGTGAGGGCCCGTTGCCCTGGTCCGCGAGAGTCCTCGGGCCGTGTCCAGGGAGACACCGTGCGGGGGCAGCAGCGTGCCCAGTGGCTGCTAGCCACCCACAGCGGGAGGGACTCTGTGGAGCGGGGTGGGGCCCCTTGGCTCTTTGGGGTGCAGGTGCCCCGAACCCAGATCAGGTGTCTGCCCACCTGTGTGCGTGTGGGGGGGTCCGAGCCCAGCCAAGCGGCCACACGGCGGCAGCTGCTCCTGTGCCTCCACAGGCTGGGGTCCTCTTGCCGGCCAGTGGCTGGGCCCTTTCACATTCCTCACCAGGCTTGATCCCCGGCACCCGTATGGTCTCCAAGTCCTGCCGGGTGATCGCTGAGCAGGAGCAGGAGTGAGCCCTGAGCCCTGGGTGTGGCCCAAACACCAAACAGAAAGCGTCCTCCTGTTTGGGGCTGATTATGGGGCTTAGAGATGAGAGTCTGGCGGGTTAGAGACAAGAGTCTGGCCTGTAATTTCTGCCCAGGGGCGGGCGACGCTGCCCGCACACACCTGTCTCCTGAGCTGCCTCCCCCGCCCCCCGCCTTGTCGTCGCCTCTGCCGGGTCCTGTGGGGCAGAGGTGTGAGGGCCCGGCCCCTCTGTTAGGCAGGAAGTCGGGACACCTTGGGAGGGGCTGGCTGGGACCCAGGCCAGACCCAGGGGACACCAGGAGCCCTGTGTGTGCCGGGGTGGGGGACGGTCGCTGCAGGGTGGGGCCAGCCTGTGTCTGAGGGTCAGTGGCCAGGCCAGCCGGAGCCAGGGTCCAGGGGCAGTGTTGGGGGGCTGCGGTCAGGGCTGGGCAGCGGGCCAGGCGGGAGAGCAGATGAGCCTCCCCACTCACTGCTCGGCGACTGGCTCCCCGGGAAGCAGGGGGACCCGGCCCAAGGACCCCCGTCTGCAAGTGTGCCTCAGGCCGGCTGCCCCCAGGCCCCCCCTCCCTCCCAGGCGCTCCGAGCAGCTCTGGAGCAGCTGGTAGGGCTGGCAGGGGGCTGTGGCAGGACGCTGTGGAGAGCCGCGGTGGGGGCGGGGCAGAGTGATGCAATACGGGCCTCTCCTTGCCGCAGCTGGCAAGCCTGGGAGGAGGGGCAGAGCGGGGCCCAGCGGGGAGCCTACCTCAGGGTCCCCTCACTCTAGCGGGTGGGGTGCCCGCCCTGGGCACCGCCAGGATGGCCCTGCGGGCAGCTTGGGCCAGTTCCCAGACCCCCCCGCCCCCCCCATCTTCCTCCCTGTCCAGCTCCCCCCGGGGTTCCCTGGGAAGTTGTGGCACCCAGGGCTCCCCGCCCCCCGGCAGTGGGCGCTGGGGTCTTGGGCTGGCGGGCCGGCGTGTGTCTAGGGAGGCCTTACCTGCGGTGGCTTCAGCCGCGCGGCTGCTGTGGGCGTCTGGGGGGCTCGGGCGGCAGCAGCTGGTTAATGTGTCACCTGGGCCTGCCAGCTCGCCCCACCCCCACTCCGGGCCTGAGGGGTGGACCTGGGGCCCCTGCCCCCCCCCCCTTGTGATGGAGCCCGCCCCGTCCTGCCCTGCAGCCCTTCGAGGCTCTGTATCCAGGCGACCGGGATGAGCCGGGATGAGCTTCCCAGAGACCCCCGGGTTGCCCGCTGGAGCCCCCTGCCCCCAGGCCCCAGGTTGCTGCTGCTGAATTTCTCCTGCATGTCTGTTGCCTGTTTCCTCTGAGGTTCTAGACCCTTCGGCGGGCCTGGAGGCAGGGGGCCTGGGTTCTCCCGGGCGTGGAGCGGGGTGCAGAGAACATGCCGGGGCCGTGGCCTCACACCCCCTGTGCCCGCAGTGCTGCTCACGGCCGTGAACTGCTACAGCGTGAAGGCCGCCACGCGCGTGCAGGACGCCTTCGCTGCCGCCAAGCTCCTGGCTCTGGGCCTCATCATCCTGCTGGGCTTCATCCAGCTCGGGAAGGGTGAGTGACACGCCAGCGGCTCTGCAGAGCGCCCCCTCCGGACCCTGCTGCTGGGCACCGGGCTGCAGGAATGTTCCGGAGAAGGGGGAGAGGCGCCAGGTCCCCATGAACCCGTGTCCGCTGCGTGGGCGCCCCCCGGCACATTCCTGCTTCTGTCTCAAGACCCCTTTGTTCCTCCCAGGAGGTTGCTGAGCCCGACCCTCCCCCGCACCCGTCTGACTCGGCTGCTCCCCAGAAGGTTCCAGAGCTTTCTGGCGGGGACTCAGTGCCGCGGGCTCAGGGTCTGGGGTGGGGGTGGGCGGCAGCTGACTCAGCCTCTCTGGCCCAGCCCCGCCCAAGGTGAGAGCTTCTGGGTGCAGGTCACCCCCGGGGCCTCGTGCAGATAAGCGGCGGGAGAGGCTGTTCCTGCAGGAACACCGTGTCCACGCTGGCTGGGCCTCCCCAGAGCTGAGACTGGCTGCTGGTCCTTTGGCCCGGGTGCCTGTGCCGAGGTGCTGGCCCCAGGGCTGGGAGAGGTGAGGCCTGGCCTGAGGGACAGGCTGTAACACCGTGTGCGACCAAGCCCTGGGGCCTCATGGGGACACTGGCCAAATGCCGGGCTGGGGCAGGGCGGGTGCACCCCGTCCCTGGGGCCCGGTTCCCATGGCCCTGCCTGTGACGAGGGCCCACATCGACTCCCTGGCACAGTCCCAGCGGGCCACCGAACACGCGCCCCAGCTCCTGGCGATGGGTCTGGAAGGGAGCCCGGTTCCCGCTGCAGACCCCCGTGCCCCCAGCCCTGCCGTGTGAGTCTGTGCCGTGGGCGTTGGGGGTGCAGGCTCCCCCGTGCGCCAGGAGGAGGGCCGCTCCGCAGCCAGCACAGCCGAGGCTACGGCCATCGGCTCTCGCTTTGCCTTTTTTGGTGAAGTGGCTCCGATCCCCCAGCTTGGCATTGGGGTCCCCTGGCAGCCCCGGGGCCCTTGGTGCCAGTGCTCCTGCGCAGAACGCGGCCCCTGCTCTGTGCCGTGCACACGCCGCTCCTCCGAGACCCCTCAGAAGACCCGCCTGACCCAGACGCTTTCCCGAGTCAGGGAACTGTGGTTGGGGGAGGGGGGTTGTCCTGTCCGGCCCCGCACCCGCTGGGCATGCCTGGCATGATCGGGGCAGCAGGGCAGACCGCCCACTCAGCACGTGTGTGGCTGTGGCCCGGGACACTGTCCCCAGCTGACTGTGCCTGAGTCTCCGCGGTGGGCACCAGGCGGGCTGCAGAGAGCTGCTGCCAGGCCTCCCTGGCGGCCCTGCAGGCGCCTTTAGTTGGTCCCAGCAGGGAACCTCCACCCGCGTGTGCGGTGGCCGCGTCTCCCCTAGGGACATTCACGGTCGCCGCGGGGCCGAGCGCCCAGCATGACCCCACGTTCCCGTCTGCTCTGGTAGGCAATGTGTCCAACCTGAACCCCACACACTCCTTCGAGGGCACCAAACTGGATGTGGGCAACATCGTGCTGGCCCTCTACAGCGGGCTCTTCGCTTACGGCGGATGGTGGGTGTCGAGGCGGTGGGTGAGGGGTCGGCTGTGCCCGCCGGGTGCCTCGGGTCAGTGCTGGGAGTGACACCCTCCGGTTTCCCCACCAGGAACTACCTGAACTTCGTCACGGAGGAGATGATCAACCCCTACAGGTGCGTGGGAGGAGGCGGAGGGGGCGCGGGGGGGCGGGTGGGGGGAGGGCATGTGCTGAGGTGCCCGCCCCCGCAGGAACCTGCCCCTGGCCATCATCATCTCCATGCCCATCGTCACGCTGGTGTACGTGCTCACCAACCTGGCCTACTTCACCACGCTTAGCACGGAGCAGATGCTGGCGTCCGAGGCCGTGGCCGTGGTGAGGCCCCGCCCGTGGGGGAGGCGGGTCGGGGGGTCCTGGCTGCGGCCGGCGCGCTCACGGAGCTCCTCGTAGGACTTCGGCAACTACCACCTGGGTGTCATGTCCTGGGTCATCCCCGTCTTCGTGGGCTTGTCCTGCTTCGGCTCCGTCAACGGCTCCCTCTTCACTTCGTCCAGGTGCGATGCTGACGGCGTTTCCGCTGGGGCCTTCTGGGGGTGCGGGTGGAGCTCCCGGCTGCAGCTGTGCTGGGGCAGTCCCTGCTCGAACTGCAGGGGTGGCCTGCCTGGGGCCCCCGGGGCCTGCTGAGCCTTCTCTGCCCTCAGGCTGTTCTTCGTGGGCTCCCGGGAAGGGCACCTGCCGTCCGTCCTCTCCATGATCCACCCGGACCTCCTCACCCCCGTGCCCTCCCTCGTGTTCACGGTGAGTTGGGCTGCCTCGGGCCCCAGCAGCCTGTGGGGGTGCAGGGGTCCCCCGAGATCCGGACCTGCCTCACACCCCTGCCGGTGCTTCCCCTTCCCTGGCTGTCTTTGGGGTCAGGGGTCAGGGCAGCTCTGGGCACCCGGTCCCAGGTTCCAGGGGACACCGGAGCCTGCTCATGGCCCAGGGGTGCTGGGGTTCCCCCGTCTGTGCCCTGGAAGCCTGAGCTGCCTCTTCTGCCCACAAGGCTGGTGTGGCGCTCAGAGGTCACTTGCGGGCAAGGCACGCGCACAAGTGCACGTGTGGTCATGTGTGTGCGAGAGGCATGTGGGCATATGTGTGTGTGTGAGGGGGGGAGTCCGCCAGAGGCTTGTGCAGAGCATGTGTGTGTGGGACCGTGTGGGCCGAGGCTCACGCGCTCTCTCCCGCAGTGTGTCATGACCCTGCTCTACGCCTGCTCCAGCGACATCTTCTCCGTCATCAACTTCTTCAGCTTCTTCAACTGGCTCTGCGTGGCGCTGGCCATCCTGGGCCTCCTCTGGCTGCGCTACAAGAGGCCTGAGCTGGAGCGACCCATCAAGGTAGCCCGCCGGGGGGCCTGGGTCCCTGCCTGGCACACAGGCCGGGACGATGGCGGGAGCAGCTGCTGCCAGTCAGCTGGCCTTCTGGGTGACCACAGGGGCTGGGCCACAATTCTGGCAGGGGTGGGCACACCGAAAAGGGACCAAGGGGGGGGCACGCCACGGCCCATGACCCTGCCCACCCCCCAGGTGAATCTGGCTTTGCCGCTCTTCTTCATCCTGGCCTGCTTCTTCCTCATCGCCGTCTCCTTCTGGAAAACGCCCGTGGAGTGCGGCATCGGCTTCGCCATCATCCTCAGCGGGCTGCCCATCTACTTCCTCGGGGTGTGGTGGAAAGACAAGCCCAAGTGGCTTCTGCAGGGCATCTGTGAGTACCCGCGGCCGCCGCCGGCCTGGCATCGGCCTGGCAGCCCGCCGTGCTGTGGGGCTGTTCGGGAGACCAGGGTCCCTTTGCCAAGGAAGGAGCTGGCAGAGCACAGGCTGACCCAGAAAGGCCCTGGCGCCCGCGGCCTGAGGGGCAGTTAAAGCAACAGGCTCCGCCCAGGCGACACCCCGGGACCCCGCGCAGACCCCTCCCTCCGGAGACCAGCCCCCCACGGTGGGGGCACCTTGGGGCCTCCCCCCACTCAGGGCAACCTGGGGCCTGGGGGGGCCGTGTCTGGGCCGCAGACCCTGCAGCTGAGCTTCCCCTCCCCTCCCCCCAGTTTCCACCACCGTCCTCTGCCAGAAGCTCATGCAGGTGGTTCCCCAGGAGAACTGAGCAGTCACAGCTGCCGGCAGACCCGGATGACCAGCACCCGCCAGCCCGGCGCACTCTAGGGCCGCGTCAGCCTGTGGCCGAGGCCTCCACACCAGGCACCGCCAGCCCCTCTGGCCCGCCCAGCCCCCACCCTCTTTATTTGTATTATTTTTTTTAACTTAAATTTGGGGTCAAGTTGATACCAGGTGATTCTCTTTTTTAAAAACGGGGTGCAGGAGAGGTCTCGCCCCCAGATGCCGCCAGAACCTGTGATGGCAGATGGGCAGCTGGGGTCCCCCTGAGCCCGCTCCCCACCGGCACAGGACTCCGAGTCTCCTGGGGCTGAGGGTGCTCGGCTCAGCTCGGCTCAGCACTCCAGACAGAGCCCGGACGGGGCAGCCTCGGGGAGGGAGCAGGGTGAGGTGCCTCTCTTCCAGAGCCGTCTCTTTCCCTGGCCTGCCCTGCCCGCAGGTGCCCGCCTGTGCCGCCCTTCTTGCTGCCTGTGCCTCCTGGCACCGAGCCGTCACACAGGCTGGGTGGATTTTTCTGGTGGCTCATTTGTTTTTAAGAAAAACCTCATGGAAACAAAGTGCTGATGCTTTTCTTTGGGGCCCGAATTGGGGCTCTGACGCCCCGGGGGGAGCCGAGAGGCGCCCTGCAGGGGTGCAACACACGCCCCACCTTCCCTGCCAGGCCTCTGGGGGCTCAGGACCTGCCAGCAGGACCCCCTCCTGCCTGGACTGGACCACACTCTTGACCCCCTGGTCCCTTCAGCCGTGGGCTGCTCCTCCAACCCCCACCTTCCATGTTCCTGCCCTTCCTTGGGCCCACAGAGGCGCCATCAGGCAGGCCTGGGCGTGGGGCTCCTCGGGGGCAGGTGCCCAGGGCCTGGTGCCCTTCCTCCACGTGGCCTCCCAAAATCATGGGAGCATGAAACAGGCGTCACTGACCAGGTCACAGACAGTCTCTGTCGGAGAATTTGGAGGCTGCGGATCGTCTCAAGGACAAAGTTCATGCAGGAGAAGGTCGTGGAGGCAAGAGGGGCCCCCCCCGAACGCAGAGAGGCAGGGGGTGCACGTTGGGGGCTGCCTGTGCCCCGGTCCCCCCCCCCCATTGTCTGGCGCGCCCTTGTCATCTCCTATGAGCCGCCCACGCTGTCAGCACGGCGTCCCAGGCCAGGGCTACACTTGGACTCGGGGGGCCCGGTCCCGAGACTGGAGGCCCTGAGGGGGCAGCAGATGCACATGATGGCGCGCGACGCAGGGGTCCCTGCGGTCCGGGCCGGTGGATCCCCGCCCCTGCAACCCAGCCATCCACTAGAGCCTGGGAGTTCCTCCTCCATGGAACCCGGGGTCCATCGATCTCAGAGCCCCAGGAAACATCATTCATGGGACCCTGCCTGCGGGCCCGCTCAGGCTGCACCCCAGGACTGGACCTGGGCCTCCTGACTGTCCCCTGCCCACGCCACACTGCCCTCCTCCAAACCTGCCCCCATCTGGCCTGGGCTCAGCTGGCGGCTCCTGCTGGGGGTGGGGCCCAAGGGCACCCTCCGCGGGGCTCGTGGCAGTGGCTGAGCCTGAGTCAGTGACCCTGCTTCTGGGCTGCAGTGGGGAGAGGTGTGTGCCCACGCCCAGGGCACGCTTGAGAACACAGTCCCAGGAAAGGTGAAGCCGGGAGGGAGGGCCGGAGGCCCCGCCCCGTGCCTCGGGGGTGCGCAGACGCTGCTCTGCTTCCATCCTTGGGGGGGGGGGGTGGGCACCTGCACACACGCCCACCTCCCAGTTCTGGGCCCAGGAGTTGGAGAACCAGGGTCGTGGCCTGTGCCCCTCTGTGGCTTCTGTCCACGGCCCACCTTTGGCTCCCTGGCACAGACGCACACCCAGGGCCACAGCCTCCGGGCAGAGAACTGCCTTTTCCCCGGTGCCCAGCATGCCCGTCCCTGTCTCGTCGCCTTGGTGCCCCGGCCCGCTGTGCAGGGAGGCCCAGGGCTGCAGGCCTCCCTGAGTCCCCCTCACGGTGACCGCAGAGCCCGGGCAGGGGCACCGGCATCCCAGGGCTGCCTCACATCCTTGTCAGGAAGGGCTCTGCGGGGCTCAGCAGGTCCCGCCCCTGCACCTCACGTCCTGGCCATTGCTCTGGGATCCTTCTGGAACCTTCCATGGCATCAGACCCACAGGAGGGAGCTGCTTCCTGCCCTCCCCGCAGGGCCGGTGACTCAAGCCAGGGAGGGCGGGCGCGTCAGCAGCTGCAGCTGCCCAGACAGCGTGGCACAAAGGCCAGGCCTGCTTTGCGGGAAAGTGGGGCCCCGGGTCCAGTGCCTGCCTGGGCCCCTCTGAAGCCCAGGCCAGCCACCAGGGAGCCTGCGCTGACTGACGCAACGGGGCTCGGGATTGCCCCAACCTGCGCGTGGCGAAGGCAGCGGGACTGGCTGCACCTGGCCCGGGCTCCCTCAGTGGCTCCCTGCTGAAGCCGGGAGACCTCAGGGGTCGAAGCCCGGCAGGCGTCACTGCCCCACGTGCCCACAAAGAAACCCCCTGGGGGCTGAGCTTCCTGACAGGGCCTCGGCCCCTGGGCGCTGCTGCCCCTGATACCCAGAATAGAGCCAAGTGAGCGGTGTGTGGCCGGCGCCCTGCCAGCGGCTCTGGGACAGGGCATGGCCTGGAGGCCGGGTGGGGGAGTCCAGCAGGGAGCACCCCAGGTGAGGAAGGCTCACCAGGGAGCACCCCCCCGGTGTGTGGGGCCCAGCAGGGCGCACCCTGGGTGGGGGGGCCCAGCAGGGAGCGCCCTGGGTGTGGGGGGCCGTCAGGGAGCACCCTGGGTGGAGGGGCCCAGCAGGGAGCACCCTGGGTGTGGGGGCCCAGCAGGGAGCACTCCCAGACGTGGGGGTTGCCCAGGGGTTCAGCAGCTCCCAGGCCACGTTGGGCTGGGCTGGCTGCAGATATGATGGGCTCGGTCAGGCACTGGTTTCGGGATGCAGATCTGCTCGCTGACCCTAGCTTTGGGGCAGGACGGTGGTTCGGTCTGGCCTGCATGGCCCCTTGAAGTGTGAAGGGGTGACCCCACACCCCCCAGGCTGGCTATGCCCGTCCTCTGTCCTGAAGGTCAGTGGGCCCGGACTGGCTGGTCAGCTGACTCCGATGATCTGCGTGTTCTGGGCCCGGGACCAAGGGCAGCCTTGGGGATGACCCTGGCGCTGGTCCCCTGGGACCCCGGGACTCCTGGGGGTGGAAGGCGCCCATCCAGGTCAGCCCCTCACCTGCTGCCTCTTCTGTCCTGGGGCCGCTCAGGCGAGGCTGGACTCAAACCGGATCATCTGAGAGGGGCACGGCTGCCTCCGGGATTAGGTGCGGGGGAGGGGCCATTCCGGATCAGTGCTCTGGAGCGCTGACTTCAAAGGCTCCGGGCCGCCGGCGGGCTGAGGAGTTCAGGTCCCTATCCGCAAACTAACAGCTGGCTGGGACCTTCCTACCCCCCACCCCCCACCCCCCGCGCCCAGCCAGCGGCCTTGGCAGAGCTCCGGGCCCAGCGGCCAGCGGCCCTGGACAGCGACTGGGGCTGTGGAGATATGGAGAGAGTGAGAGGACAGGGACCCCACAGGGCCAAGGGGCCATTGTGGGGTCTGCCCTGCACAAGCCACAGGTGCCTTCCCTCACCTCCCCACCCCGCAGCTGCCAGAGTGTCTCATGGGGGTACGCTGGGGGCTACTCCTGGGTCTGGGGTCCAAGGGTCACTACAGGCACTGGGCTGCATCTGGCCAGGGCTGCAGTGGCTGCATCTGGGACCAGGGATGCCAGGGTTGGGGGGGGTTGCTGGGGTCGGGGGGAAGCTGGGGTCAGGGTGGGGGTGTTGGGTTCGGGGGCGCTGGGGTCAGGGTAGGAGTTCTAGGGTTGGGGGGCTGAGGTCAGGGTGGGGGTGTTGAAGCTAGGGGGGCTAGGATCAGGGTGGGGGCATTGGGGTTAGTTGGGCCTGGGGTCAGGGTGGGGGTGTTTGGGCCAGGGGTGTGGGGTCAGGGTGGGGACGTTGGGGTCAGGTGGGGTTGGGGTCAGGGTGGGGGTGTTGGGGCTGGGCGGGATGGGGTCAGGGTGGGGGTGTTGGGGCTGGGCGGGATGGGGTCAGGGTGGGGGTGCACTGGCTCAGAGGCACATTCACTCCTTGCTCAGTGCTCCGACTTTGGGGCTCCATCGGGCAGCCAGGCCTTGCGTGTATGGGCAGAGGTGCCCTGGGGGTCTGAGCACAGGCCACAATGTCAGGGACCCCCACAGTGGTCTGTTCCAGCTGCATCTGAGAGCTCAGGGCTTCTGGCTGTTCCAGTGATGACCACAGATAAGCCTCCTGGTGGAGGTGACAGGTCAGAGGTCAGGGCCAGTCCCCCCCCCCCCCGCCATCTGCCAGGCTCCCCAGTTCCAGGGCACACCTGGTGTGAATGGGCAGAGGCAAGACAGGGCAGGCCGGCCTGGCATGGAATGGGCAGACAGGACGGGGCGGGCTGGCCGGGCACGCAGCCAACCCAGGCTCCATCCCCCACACAGGGGCCCCTCGGCGGGGCGGGGGGCTTCTCCTTCCCTCCAGCACCTCACATGTTCAGGTTGCCGGGAGCAGAGAGCCCAACACTGAGCTGGCCGCGAGGAATGAAGGGCTGAGTTCAGACACACGGCGCCACCAGCTCTGCCCAGTCCCAGCTGGCTCAGGGACAGAGGGCGTGGGCGCCAGTGGGCACTGTGTCCTGCCACCTCCTGTCCGCCTTCTCTTCCCTGTGTATTTTACTGTGTCTGCAAGTGGTCAAGGGCCACTCCTCGCTGTGCGGTGTGGGGACTCGCGCCTGAGGTCAGCACCTCACCCCTGTCCTGTCCCCTTCTAGAACACGCTCCTGCTTCTCTCTTGGTAACGCTGTGTGGCCCTTTGAGAGAGGAGCCCAGGCCTTCTGCCCCAGCTGACACCGGAGGGATGACGCCTGGAAGCTTTAGAGAATTGTTGGTTTGCTTTGGGGCCCCAGCTGGCTGTGCTCAGGGCGTATTCCTGACCACTGGAATGGGTCCCCAGGACAGACCCTCTGCACTCAGGGATCACTCCTGGTGGGCTCAGGGTAAGATGTAGTGCCAGGGGTTGAACCCAGCGCCCTACATCTGTGTTGCCACTCTGGCCGCAGGTTTAGAAAATCTTTTTTTTTTCTTTTTGGGTCACACAAAGCGATGCTCAGGGGTTACTCCTGGCTCATGCACTCAGGAACCACTCCTGGCGGTGCTCGAGGAACCATATGGGATGCTGGGAATCGAACCTGGGTCAGCCGCGTGCAAGGCAAACGCCCTATCCGCTGTGCTATCGCTCCAGCCCCAAGAAAATCTTTCTTGTAGTGGCCAACCACAGTAATGGCCGGATGCCCACATCTGTGAGTCCGTCCCCCTGGCCTGGGGAAAATGGGGCCAGTGTGGGTGTTGTGAGGTCCTGGGGGTCTGTTCCGGGGGTCAGAAGGGGCCTAAGCAGCGGCAGACTTGCTAAGGGCCTTCCCCCAACCCCGTTCCCAGGGGCCCTGCAGAGCTGTGAAGGAGTAAAACGCCGACATTTGGGTCTCGGGAGCAGCATGAGGCTTGAGGAGGTGCCTGGCCTGGAGGGGCGCCGTGGAGTCTGCCCGTGGGGGCCCCAAGACAGCGCGGGAACATCAGCGGGTGGAATGGGAGTGGCCGGTGGCCAGCCCTGGGGACTGGGGGCAGCCAGAGAGGGAGGGGGGAGGCATGCCGGCGTGTGTGCACATGCGTGCGTCTGTGTGTGCGTGTGGCCTGCGGTCGGGGAGGCAGAGGCGCAGAGCCCCGTGGGACGCGGCACAAGGCGGCAGGGCGGCCGGGAGGAGCATCTGGGCCTGTTTGTGTTCAGAGCAGGTGACACCTGGTGTGCAGGCACCGAGGACCCTGGGCTCCGGGGCCGCTGGCCCTCGAGGCCCGGCCAATGCAGGCCCCACGCCCGCAGGTGCTCTGAGTGCTGAGGGCCGACGTCCTTTTACACACCGGACGGGGCCTTGCACCTGCACCGACCGAGGCGTCCTCTCTCCCGGGCCTGCCCAGCAGGGGTCAGGGCTGGGCGGTGGTGGCTGCGCTGAGGCCGCGCACGTAGGGGCTGGAGCGCCCTCTGCTGGGCCTGAGGCCACCTCAGCCCGGTCCCGCACCTGCTCCCGGCCCATAAGCACCCCAGCACTGTCCCCTCCAAGGAGGCGCCAGCACAGGGCCTGTGCTCACATCCCCTCCCGTGGGGTCGGCCAAAGTGGGTGCAAGGGAGAACGGGACCTGGCGCGAGGCACCAGGAACCCATGCGCCAGCCCTCGGAGTGGCGGGCCAGGCCCGTCCCAGGGGACCAGTTGTTTTTCTCTACAGTAAAGCATCTCTCGCGTGGCCGTCACCATCAGCGACAGGCTCAGCTCCGCCCTACCTTGCCACGCACGTGACACCTCCCCATGGGGGGCTCAGGTTCCCTGCTGCCAGCCCCGGACCGGGACCGTTGCAGGTTTTGGGGTCCTGGGATGACTGGGGAACACTTGCCAGCCAGGCCGCAGTCTTTGAGGTGTGCGGGCGCGTGGTCAGCGGCAGTTATGGACCCTGGGCTGCCGCTGCCCTGTGGGCCTGTGTCTGGGCGTGGGGCCTCGAGGCGTGGTGGAAGGTGAGTGCCTGAGCCTCCCCCCCCCCCCGGGCCCTGCCTTCTGCACTGCTCCTTCTGGACACCCGCCAGGGGTGGGCTGTCTCCTGTTGCTGTGCACGTCTCTGCTGTCCCCTTGCCACCCACCAGCCACCTGGAGGTTTCAGAGAGGGACGTGAGCTCAGGCAGGTCCCCAGGAGACCCAGAGGAGAAGGCAGCTGAGGCCAAGCAGGGCCTCCATCTGCCCCGGAGCCAGCTCCCCCGGCCGGCCTCTCCTCCCCTGGGTTCTCTCCTGTCTGCTCTCACCCTCCACAGCACTCAGCCCCTGCCTTGGGCCTGCGTAGCTAGAGGGAAAGAGGGACGGAGGGTGGGCGGCCAACGGGAGCTACGAGGGCCTGGCCAGTGTGCCCGCGGCCCTTCACAAGACGCAGGTACGCATCCCATCTCTCGACCAGCTGGGGAGGGGTCAGTCCCTTGTAAGAACTTTCTAAGCCTCCCTTCCAGTTCCACCTTGCATGGTTCCTAGACTGCTCTGGCACAGCAGGACATGTCGTCGGCCAAGAGACAGCGTGAGGCGCTGGCCTTGCGTGCAGCCGGCCCAGGATCCATCCCCCGAGGGACGGGGTGAGGTGCTGGCCACGAGTGCACCCAACCTGGGTGCCAATGCAGGCATCCAACCTGGCACCACAGGGTCCCCTGAGCCCCAGCAGGAGAGACTGCACCACTGGGTGTGGCCCCAAACCTGAAGCAAAACAAAGTGAAACACTGACGGGCGGGAAGCCCTCCCTGACCGCAGTGTGCAGACATGCCGAGAGCCCACGTCAGAGCTTTCTGGGTGCTCTGGGGGTGTGGGGGAAACCAGGGTGGGGAAGATCCTTGGAACAGAGGTCCCAGGAACACGACTGCTGGCTGGAGGGCAACAGAAAGTTTGGGCTAAGGGCGCCGCGTGCCACTGAGGGGCCCGGTTTCTGTCCTTGCTCCCAGCAGGGAAGGTGGGCGAGCTCCTGCGCGGAGGTGAAGGGGGCTCCGTGGCTGTGGACCACCCAGAGCTCAAGTTGGACGCTGGCCCTGGGGCTGAGCACAGGCACCAGGTCAGGCCCTGGGTGGAGCCTGGCCACCCCCACCCCCCCCCCCACACACACACACCCAGGGGAATCAGGACCAGAGAACCTTTAGACCTCTGGATGGGAGACTCACTCCGCAGGGTGGGGGACTTCAGCTCTGCCTATATGCAGCGAAGTGGGGGGTAGGGGGCTTTAGGGTCAGACTTGGGGACCTGCACCCAGGTGCCTCCTAGCTGCCCTGCTGGGGCTCTGCATCCCCTCGCTGCCGGCTTTCAATGCCCACATACCAGTTATCCCTGGGCCCCTTGTGCTGGGGGCAGGGTGGAAACTCCCCCACGTTCTGAGTGGGCAGGAGGGAGGCTAGCGGGCCTCAGAGGCCCACAGAGAAAGCCGCACGTGGGCAGGCTGTGGGGGCGGGGAGACCCAGCCAGAGCTGATGTCAGAAGTTAGGCCAGGCACAACTCTGCCCCGGGACGGGACGGGCTGGGTTGTTTCACTGGGGTGCCCCAGAGGGGGCGGGTGAAACCCCTCCCCACCCCAGCCCAGCCCCGGCTGCCGGAAACCTCCCGAACTCCACTGCCGCCACGCTCACGGCTGCTCTCCACGTGCTCGGCCGAGCCTCAGCCACGAGGGACCCTCCGTGGACCGCGGCCACAGCGGCAGCCGCGTTCGCAGGACTCGCCGCCCGCACTCCGCGAGTCGCGTGCCACATCTGACGGGGCTCAACCACAGAGAGATACACTGTATCATTTTGGTCCTGCGCTGGGGCGGGGATTGGATTACTCGGGATAGGAACGCCGGAAACCGGGCGGCAGGAAGGTGTAACGGTGGGGTGGGGTTGGGGTTTGAATATCAAACGTAATCAGATATCGTGCGCTACTTTATGAAATAAAAAAAATGGGGAAAAAAAGTCAGGCGCTGGAGCGATAGCACAGCAGGTAGGGCGTCTGCCTTGCACGTGGCCGACCCGGGTTCGATTCCCAGCATCCCATAGGGTCCCCCGAGCACCGCCAGGAGTGATTCCTGAGTGCAGAGCCAGGAGGATCCCCTGAGCATCGTGGGTGGGAGTCCCAAAAAGCAAAAAAATAAACAAATACAAAGCAAACTAGGGGCTGGAGTGACAGCAGTGTGGGGAGGGCGTTTGCCCAGCACGCGGCCGACCCGGGTTCGATCCCCCGCATCCCATAGGGTCCCCCGACACCGCCAGGAGTGATTCCTGAGTGCAGAGCCGGGAGGATCCCCTGGGCATCGCCGGGTGGGACCCAAAAAGCAAATGAAAATAAAACACAGAAGTCAGGCGCGAGCCCCCCCAACGGGGCCGAAGGGGCGGCGGGGCTGGGGCGCTGGCTGGGCCGCCGGGAGGGCACACTGCGGCCGGGGCGGCCGGCCGAGGGTCCGCGGCGCGCGGGCCAGACCCCGCGCGGCCCCCAGCACCGGCTCCGCCCTCGGCCCCGCCGCGAGGCGCGCCCGGAAGTGACGCGCGGCGCCCCGCCCCCCCTCGACGCGCTTCCGGCGCGCCGGGCGCTCCCGCGGCGAGGGGCCGGCGCGATGGGCAAGAAGGGGCGCAAGGAGAGGAAGGGGCGCGGCGCCGAGAAGACGGCGGCCAGGGTGGAGCGCAAGGTGTCGCGGCGCGCGCGGCAGGCCGAGGAGGACCTGGAGGCGCTGATCGCCCAGTTCCAGGCGCTGGACGCGCGCGGGACGCAGGTGCGGGAGACGCCCAGCGCGGCGCCCTCGCCCAGGTGCGGCCTCGGGGGTCCCGGCGGGGGCGGGGCGGGGCGGGGCGCCCCACGGGCCCACGGGGCCTCCGCCCACGCGCGCCCCGCCCGCTCCCGCCCCGCAGGCTGCACGCCTCGCTCTCCGCGCACCCCGAGAAGGACGAGCTGCTGCTCTTCGGGGGCGAGTACTTCAACGGCCGCCAGGTGAGGCCTCGTCCCTCCCCGTCCGGGCCGCCCTCTCGGGGGCCGGGGCCGCGTGGGCCTCGGGGTCGGGCGCGAGCCGCCCCGTGCCGGCGTGCCCCTGCGTGGGGTGCCCCTCCCGCCCAGCCGAGCCCTCCTCGCGCAGACGCTGCTGTACAACGAGCTCTACGTCTACAGCATCAGGAAGGATGCCTGGACCAAGCTCGAGATCCCTGGGCCCCCGCCGAGGCGCTGCGCCCACCAGGTCGTGTCCGCGCGCTCGCCCCTCGGCTGGTCCCCTCCCTGGCCCCATGCACTTGCGCCTTCTGCTTCCGCTGGTCCTTGCTACCAGCTCCTTGGGCCTGGGGAATCTTCCAGAAGGGAGGTGGGGTTGAAACTTAGACTGATTCCTTGATGGGGCTGTGGCTCTGACCCCCCCCCCCCACACACACCCCATCTCCCCGGAATTTTCTGTGCCGTCCCCGGACACGCATGCTTCTCCGTTTCCCTGGGGGAGGGCCCTTGGGGGTCTTTCCGAAGGAGAATGGCACCCCAAGCTGCCCTGGGGCCCAGCACGCTGGGAAGCGGTGCTCGTGCCCTGCCGCCTCCACCCTCTGCCTGTGACTCCCCACCTGTGACTTCACTGCGGCACCTCTTACTGCCCTCTCTCCTCTCTCTGTGCCCACCGCGTGCCAGGCGGTGGCGGTGCCGCAGGGCGGTGGGCAGCTGTGGATCTTCGGAGGGGAGTTCGCGTCTCCTGACGGGGAGCGGTTCTACCACTACAAGGACCTCTGGGTGCTGCATCTCGCCACCAGGAAGTGGGAGCAAGTCAGGTGAGGCCATGGGCGCCGTGGGGAAGTCCCCCGGTGTCTGCGTCACCGGCTGCTCCGTGCTGAGTCCCCTCTTCAGTCAAGCCTGGCCGGGCCTGGCCCACTGACCCCTGTATATGCTTCAGGGACTCGGGTCCCAGGTCAGTGGGAAACATGTGTGGCTGTGTGTGTGTGCATGTGTGTGCAGTTTCCTTGGAGGAGGCCGCTGGGTCTGAGCTGGGAGTGTGCGCTGGGCAGCAGGCAAGAGAAGGGGCCAGTCTCCCTTTTGGGGGGCCCGCAGTGGCTTCTGGTGCTTCCTGCGCTGCAGCCGGCCAGGTGCCAGCTTTGTAGCATGCGGGTGACGCCACTGCCAGGCAGGGGAGCTGGTGGCTGCAGCCCCTCCGGCTGAGGGACCCCCAGCGAGGATGCGCGACTCCTCGGGGCCTCCAAGGGGGGGTTTGCCAGGTCCCTGTTCCGGAGCCAGACCCGAGGGCCTGGCAAGGACAGACGTGCCTGAGGGTTGGGGGACACATGGGCCCCCGCCCCCCCATTTGTCAGCGGTGTGTGCGGTGCGATACATGAGCTTTGGGCTGGCAGCTGCTCAGGCTGCTGCTGGCCAACACCGGGCGCCCCACGTGTGTGGGGTTGTGCACGTGTGTGTGCATTCATGCGTGTGGTGTGTGTATGTACACGTATGCACGCGTGTCTGGGGTGTGTGAGTGGTATGGGGGTGTGGAGGGGGTGGGTCGTGATGCGTGTGTGGGGTATATCTGGTGGGGGGCTGTTTGTGGGCTGTGGATTGGGGGTGGCATATGGTGCATCTGGGGTGTGTGGGAGGGTAGGGTTCTGGGGGGTGTCAGGCGTAGGGTGTGATGTGTTGGGTGCGGGGGGTGGTGTGTGATGTGTCTGGGTTGTGCCTGGGATGTGTGGGGTATGGTGTGTCTAGGGGCGTTGTCTGGGTGTGATGCGTGTCGGGGGTTTGTGTGCGGGGTATCTGGGATATGTGTGTGGTATGTGGGTGTGGTGTGGGGTGTGTCTGGTCTGTGGTGTGGGGGTTGTGTGTGGGTGTGTTTCTGTGTGGGCTGTGTCTGGGGTGTGGGGCACGTCCATGGGGGCCGTGAGCGTGCTGCCCGCAGAGTGGCCGAGGCTGCCTCCCGTCCCGGCCTTGGCACAGCAGCAGTGACAAGGCTCTGTCACAGTGACCCGCAGCCGTCCTGGGCGTTCATCTTCTGTGTGGAGTCTCGAGTCTTTTCCGGTGTGAGGGTGGTGTCCTCACACCGCCCAGGGCTGAGTCCTTGGTGCTGGGCATTTCCCAGTGGGGCAGAGACCCAGAAGTGGTGGTCCCCGTGGGCAGCCTCGCCTGCTTCCAGGCCAGGCATGTGGGGCCAGCCTGGGAGCTCTGGGCTTGCGGGCCCATGGCCGTTTGTCTGCTCACGAAGGCTCTGGGCTGCTCCAGCTGTGTCTCCGGAATGGAGCCGGCAGGAGGCCCGAAGCCCCGTCCCCACCATCTGCCGGGACAGGGATGTCAAGGGCTCTTCTCTAGTTCTGGGCTCTTCAGCTGTGCTCCACAGTCAAGCGACGGTGCTTGGCAGTGCCTGGGGCCCAGAATCCCCCCTCCATGCATGGAGGCAGAGTGGGGCCTCCAGCCGCCTTCCCACGTTGTTCTTCTCTTTGGTGCTCACCTTGTCTGGGGCCCTGGCCCTTGCCCGCGGCTGGGTGTGGCCCAGCCTTTGGTGTGTCTCTCGGAGTCTCCGTGGGCTGAGCTGGCGTCCGGACGTCCCTGGGACCCCCCATTGAGCGTTTTGGCTTTGAGCTGGCCAAGTGTGCTGGGCCCACCAGCCCCCTGTGGCTGTGCGCATGAGTCCTACCCTCAGGCCCCTTCTGACCCTGCTGGTCAGAAGCCCCCAGGAAGTGCTGTTCTCGCCCCTGCAGGGCTGCAGGGGGCCCCTCGGGCCGCAGCGGACATCGGATGGTGGCCTGGAAGAGGCATCTCCTCGTGTTCGGGGGCTTCCACGAGAGCAGCAGGTCAGTCCCGCCCGCGCTCCCGAGGGGGCCTTGTGCTCTGCATCGCCCAGGATGGCCCCATGGTGGCAGCGGGTCCCTCCTCTGGCCGCACTGACCGCGGCCTGGCTCGTCTGTGTGTTCCCAGGGGGCCGCTTGTCTGCTTGTTCACACTCTTCTTTCTAGAACGCTCACCTGTCATAGCTTGGGTGCCCATGCAGTGTAGGGGGCCGGGGGAAGCGACAGCGGCACCCCTGGCCTGTCCCAGCCTGTGGCCTGGTCTGAGGGCCCTGAGGAAGACCGGGTCACCGCCCTCACGGAGCGGATCAGTCTGGGAACTGATCCCAGACTGGGAGCCAGCCCAGCAGGGGGCGCACACAGCACCCCAGAGGGTCCCCCGAGCCCCCCAGGAGTGATGCCTGAGCACTGTCCCCAAACCTGTTCTCCACCCGGCCTGCAGCGTGCACGGACCCGAGGCCGTAGTTCTGGCCCTTCCCAGGCCTCAGGCGCCTTGGGTCCAGGATGTGAATTGTGTCCTCACTGCAGGGGACACTGAGGCCGAGCCGTGTCCCCCCAGCCGCCCCCTCCAGGGCTCACCGTGCCCGTGTCCTGCCCACGTAGGGACTACGTCTACTACAGCGACCTGCACGCCTTCAGCCTGGACACCTTCACCTGGACCCGGCTGGCCCCTGCGGGGACCGGGCCCTGTCCCCGCTCAGGCTGCCTGCTGACCGTGAGCCCGCAGGGCGGCGTCCTCCTGTACGGCGGCTACTCGAAGCAGGTGAGGCGGGGCCCGCGCTCAGGCCGGGCGCTGGCCACGCCGTGCCCGTAGCCCCAGGTTCGGCCGCACTGTCCCCCTGCAGCGCGTCAAGAAGGACGTGGACAAAGGCCTGCTGCACTCGGACATGTTCCTGCTGCGGGCGGAGGAGGGGAGAGACGGTACGGCGGTCCCCGGGGCTGCGGGCGGGAGCCAAGGCTCGGCCGCGCCCTCACCCACCCGTGCTGTCCCTGGCCAGGCCAGTGCTCCTGGACGTGGACGCGGCTCCAGCCCTCGGGCAGCAAGCCCACGCCACGGTCTGGCTTCTCGGTGGCCGTGACCCCCAGCCAGCAGACGCTTCTCTTCGGGGGCGTCTGTGACGAGGAGGACGACGAGAGCTTGGAGGGCGACTTCCTCAGCGACCTGCACCTGTACGACGCGGCCAAGAACCGCTGGTTCCCGGGGCAGCTGAAGGTGGGTGCTGCCCGGCGGCTGGGGTGAGCGGGCCTGGTAGCCGCTGGGGGCCCTCACCGGCGGCCTCTCCCAGGGCCCCAGGACGGAGCCGAGGAAGCGCAGACGGGGGGGCCGAGCAGAGCCCCCAGCGGCGGCTGAGGCCGAGGCTGAGCCCGATGTCCAGCTGCCCCTGGAGGTGGTCAAGGAGGTGGTGACTGAGGACGGGACCGTGGTCACCATCAAGCAGGTGCTGGCCGGCTCAGGCCCCTCGGGCCGGCCCCCAAGCCCCCGGGAGGCCAGCCCTGAGGGGGCGGCGCCCGGCACCGGGCCCTGCGCCCGCTCCAACGCCATGGTGGCCGTGAAGCACGGCCGCCTGTACCTCTACGGCGGCATGTTTGAGGCCGGCGACCGCCAGGTCACCCTGGGCGACATGTACTCCCTGGACCTGCACAGGATGGAGGAGTGGACGGTCTTGGTGGAAGCCGACCCAGGTGCCTGGGCGCAGCCTGCGTGGCGGGGGAGGTCCTGGGCCCCGTGTTCAGCCCAGCCCCAGCCCCAGCCGCCGCGTTTGCTCCCCAGACACACAGGAGTGGCAGGGCACCGACTCGGAGGGGGACAGCGAGGAGGCGGAGGACGAAGAGGATGAGGACGGCAGCAGCAGCAGCAGCAGCGGGGACAGTGACCAGGAGGCTGGGGGTGAGTGCCCACGGAGGTGGGGGTCGGCTGGACCCCGTCTTCCCCGCCCCCACCGCTGCCTTGTCCCCCCAGAGCCTCGGCCCCCTGGAGCACATGCGGACCCGATGCCCAGGAGCACGAGCTGAGAGGCTGCGCTGACTTGGACAGACCTTGGCCCTCGGTGACTGCACAGGCCCCGCCCGGGTGCCACCCTGACCTCCACCCCGCTCCCCGGCGCCCCCCGCACATCTGTTTCCCCGTAAGGAAGGAACTGGAAGCGGATAAATAAAGGGTCTGGGAGGCGCCCAGCTGTCTGGAAGGTTGTTCTGTGCCCTCCCCCTGCGCCTGGGGACAGCTTGGGACGCTGTGTGGCACAGGTGGCCGAGGATCCTGTGCGGCTGCTGTGATGCCCACTGGGGCTGGAGTTGTGCAGGGCCCCCGGGGCATCAGGCCACACGGACTGTTTCATGGGTCTGGGGGGGACGCAGCTGCCACCCACCCAGTGTGGGCAGACCCGGCTCACGTCCACGCTGGAGTCACCCCCTCAGCCCTCGGGCTGCCCGGACAACCCGGGGCCAGCGCGCTCAGACCCTGCCCGCCAGGACTCTGCTGCCCCTTCCAGGTGCCCGGGGGATCGGGCGAGCCTCCCGTGGTGTCGGACCCGCCGGCCCCTCCCCCACCCTCCCCAGACGCAGCCAAGGCCAGAGCCTGTGGCGGTGGAGCTGGGGCGGAACAGAGACGGGCCTGGGACTGGAACATGCTCTAATCTTCAGTTTATTTGGTTAAAAATATAGCAATCCAGTGCATGTAGTAAAGAGCTGCCCCCACGGCAGAGGCAGCGACGGAAGCAGCGCCGAGTCCACGGACGCAGCGCCGGCGGGGGCAGGGCCAGGAGCAAGCCCCGTCGGGGTGAGGGGTCAAGGCTGGGAGAGGCGGAGACCCCGCGACCTGCTCCTGCCGGGCCCGCGGGACCGGGCTTCAGGCCAGGTGTGGGGGTCTCCATTTCCTCGTGACGTGGGTCCTTCCGACAGCCCCCGCCGCGCACGGGGACACGCCGTGCTGTGCCTGGCCGGGACCCTTTCCCCCACACCAAGCTGAGGGTCGGCGAGCGCCCGCCTCTGCCATGCCGCAGCGCAGGTAGACAAGCAAAGGAGTTTGACTAAAATCCAAAAACATTACCAGAAAAAAGGCAAACTGTGATAATACCCCAGTCGCGCCATCCCGGGCGGGAGGAGGCCGAGTCGGGCTGAGGCCGCCCCTCCGGGGGCTGGGTCTCGTGGCCCCGCGCCTGCCCTTCAGATGAAGAAGTTGATGAACAGGATGACCACGCCGATGTTGAGCAGGATCACCATGGCGACCAGGAGGGGGGCGGAGCCCTGCAAGGGGCATCGGCAGGCGTCAGCGGGGGAGCGGGCATCCCCCCCCAGGGCGCGCCCCATCCCCGGGCGGCGGGCGGGGCGGGGCACTCACCGAGCTGGGCTTGAGCTGGTCCCGGGTCTCCTGGTCGGACTCCACCGGGGCCGAGCGCTGCGGCGGGGAGAAGGTGAGGTCCCAGCGCAGCAGCCGGGGCTCGGCACGGCCGCCCAGCCGCAGGCTCTCCAGTCTCTGCACCGCGGGCTCGGCCGCCGGCCTGGCGTTCTCCTTGCCCTGGGCCTTGGCCCTCAGTCTCTGCGCCCCGAAGGCCCGGTCGTCCCCCGCGCCCCGGCAGGGCCCCCCCTTGCTGGGGCGCCGCCTCTGGGGCTGCGACTCCTGCAGGGCCGCGTCCACGCGGAGCAGCGGCTTCAGCTCCATCTCGTACTTGCTCGGCCGCTCGTCCAGCTCGGCCAGCCTGACGCCGCCGCCGCCGCCGCTACCCGGGGGCCCGGCCCGGGGCTGTGGAGTCCAGAAGCAGGTGGGTGACTCGGGCCGCTCCCGGGCCTTGGGGTTCCCGGGCTGCTTGTGGCCGGAGCCCCGGGCAACCCCCTTCTCGGCCAGCAGCATCTGGATGTGGCCACCGCGCTCCTCGTCCACAGACACCTGCCGGGCCAGGTGCGGCGGCTTGTTGCGGGGGGTGGGCGTCGGACTGGCGTCGGGGCTGGCGTCGGGGCTGAGGTCCGAGGGTGTCGTGCCTTTGCGGTACAGCTCGGGGCTCTCCTGCAGGGCCGTCCCCGTGGAGGTGACCTCCAGGGCGTCACTGGACAGCTGAGGCTTCGGCCGCTGGTACTCGAGCCCTTAGCCGGGGCAGACGGGGGTCATGGCCGGAAGCTGCCCGCGCCCCTCCCAGGTCCCCGCCCACACCCCGCGGGGGCTAGCTGGGACGGCCGGTGTGCAGGTTCCCTGGGCCGGCTGGGCCGGGCCACACTCACCGTTCTCCCGGTGCTGGAAGGAGGGCGAGAACTCTTTGGCAGTGATCCTGGCGATCCGGGCTTCCTCCTGTGCCTTCTGGGCTGCTGTGAGTGCCGCCTCGGCCTTGGCCCGGGAGTGGGACGTCCTGAGGAGGGGCTGGCGGTGAGGCTGGGTGGGGAGTCCCCCCGGGCGACCCCCCCTCCAGTGTCAGCATGGGGCCTGCTCTGGCCTCGGCCGGTCCTGGTCCTGCTAGTCCGCGTCCCACGCAAGGAAACTGAGTGACAGCTCTGCTGCCCCTAATTGGGGCCGAGACGGACCTCCTTCTAGAAGGTTCCGCAGAACCCCCCGTGCGTGCTCGCACAGAAAGGGGCCGGGGCCCCCCGAGTGCATGATACTCGATTTGCTGCGAGACTCCAAGCGACACCCCTGTGGTGGGGTCCTGCATCGTGCCCCCAGTCCCTCGGTAGCCCCAGGCCTGCTGGGGCATGGCCTCCCACCCCTTCTCCCTCCCCCACACCCAGTGCAGGGACATTCCACCCCAGCGGGGAATGGACTCAGCCGCTCTGTTCCACGAAGCGCCCCACGTCCCACCACAGTGAGGGAGGCTGACCGGGGACCCCACAGCGCGGGGGTCCAAGGATATGACACCGGGCTGCGGTGCTGGGGGTGGAACGTGGGGGCCCCGTTGCACCTGACTCCTGCAGGCTCACCAGGCCCACAAGCTGCCTCACACTCCTCGGGTCAGGCTAGAGTGCAGACGCTCCGTGCCAGTGCCCAGTGAAGGCCCACAGGAAGGGGAACACTCACGGCCTGGTGTGCAGCACATGTGACTGGGCGTGTGTGTACACACAAGCGACGTGCGCACGAGTCCGCCGGCCCACATCTGTGCACACGGCACTTGCACACACATGCACACGTGCTCCCCTGCCCCGTGTCCAGGCTGTGGGAGGCCCTGGGGACCAGCTGCGGCCACCCCCTCTTCCCCTAGTCAAGCACTGCGCTCCTGAGCCTGCAGTTGACCCTCAGGACCCCAAGGGGGGAAACCGAGACCCCAAGAGTGGCCCCTGCTCGGGGCTCCCCCCGCGGCACCCCCGTCTCCTTCCCGGGAACCGGCTGTGCTTGCTGTGGGACGGCCTTGCCACGGGCCTCAGCCCCCGCCGTCAGCCGCCTCCAGCCTTCCCCCGGGGCCAGACAAGGCAGAGGTGCACCCTGGCTGGCGCGCGGCAGGCCGGGTCCGACCCCCGCCCACACTGCCAACCGGAGCTTGGGGAGGCTGTCCGGCCACGCGCCCTCTGCTTCCGTGAGGAGCCCTGCAGGGGCACGCCCGGCCGGGAATGTCCCCAGCTTCTGGGCCCCAGGAACGGTCCAGACCCAGCCTTGGCCAGCGCCCAGGGCTCCTCCCGGCCACCTGCCCCGGCAGCAGGCCGCAGATGGCCATCCGCGCCGCCCTGCGGGGCCCTGCCCGCGGCCAGCCTCGGCCTACCTGGACGCGGCGATCTCGGCCTTCTGCTTGGCGATGGTGGCCGCCCGCTCGGCCGCCTCCACGGCCCGGTCCACCTTCTCGCGGATCTTGCTGGCGCGCAGCGGGATGAGGTTCTTGCGCTTGCCGCTGACGAGCACGTTCTGCTTGTACTTGCCCTCCTCCTTGGTGCCGTCGGGGAAGGTCATGCAGCCATAGCCGTGCCGCCGGTTGCCGGCCCACTCGCCCTCGAACTTGAGCCCGTCGGAGCGCTGGCTGACGCCGAAGCCCGCGCGCTTGTCGTGCTTCCACTCGCCCACGTACGTCTCGGTGGTGGTGGCGTCGATGTCGTCCTCCACGGCCGAGAGCTCGGCCTCGCCCTCGCCCAGGCTGACGGTGGAGTGGATGTCGCTGGCCGTGGAGCTGACGGTGCTCATGCCGGCCTCGCTGCGGAAGGAGCTCTGCTTGCTGCGCTGGCTGGCCAGGCTGCTCTTGGACTCGGAGCGCCGGAGCTTGAGCCCGCTGAGCAGCGAGCGCCGGAACAGGCCCTTCTTCTTGCTCCGGAGGATGTCCGAGTCGCTGTGCGCCACCAGCACGAAGCCGCCCCGCGACACGGCCGGGCTGCCGGCCAGCGCCGGGGCGGCGTCGGGGTGCAGGGCCGCCCCGTTGGTGTGTTCGCTCCGCAGGGAGTTGATGGACGTCCTCAGGGGCGAGCGGATGACGGCCGCCATGCCGTAGGGCACACTCTGCCGGACGCCGTAGCCCTGGCGCATGCCGCCCACCCACTGCCCCTGGTAGGTCCCTGCAGAGACAAGGACGTGCGGCGGTGAGACCTCGGGCCGTGGCCGCCGGGCCTCCCTCGTGGGCGGTGGGACGCCCCCCAGGACACCCACTTCCGGGCTCGGGGAAGCCCGGGGGTGCCTACCTGGGGAGCAGCCCCGGGCTCAGTCCCCCCGGCGAAAGGAGGAAAACCCCAGAAACGGGCGGGACAGAGGGAGGGTGGGTGTGCCCCACCCCTGCCACCCGAGGGCTGAGAGCAGGAGGGCTCGGCCCTGCACTTTCCCTGGGGGAAAGTGGGGTGACAGTCTCCAGGCACTGAGGAGACGCGGGGGCGGCAGGCCTGGGGGTCCCTCTGTGACAGGGCTCTGCTCGACACCGCGAAGCTGATCCCCCGAAGTGCTGCTGGGGCCAGGGGGCCCAGCCGCACAGCTGACACCAAGAGGGGCATTGTGGGGGAGGGGGCGCTCAGAGGACAGAACCCGAGGGTCTCACTGGCCCAGGGTCTGACGGGCAGGGCCAGGTGGGGAGCAGGGGAACAGAGCTTGAGTGAGGTTCATGTGGGGGGGTGCCCTCGTGGTTGTGCACCCCACGGGCCGGGACGCCCCTGTGCTGCGTCTCCTAGTCTACGGAAGGATCTAGAATCCCTGAGCAGCTACTGGAAGCTCCACCCCATCGTTAGCACTGTGGTAGCTCCCAGGGGCTCAGCGTGGGGCCCGCAGGGATCCGCCTGGCACCGCCCGTGCGAGGACCCAGAGGCACCATCCGCGGCGTCATCCCTCTAGATGCGGCCTGGCCCAGGGCTCACTCTCGGGCAGCACTGGCTTGCCCCCAGCTGTCCCCTCAGTGGGCCGGCCAGAAGCTGGGCACCACAGGCCTCTCCCGGAGCGCAGAGCCAGGAGCAGGCCTAGTCCAGGCGTGGCCCCCAAGCCAAAGCCGACCAAGCACCGCCCCAGAGAGGGCCCCCAAGACAGGCACCCCGGCCCTGCCCCTACCACCTGCCAGCCCGGACGCCTGCCCACGGCGAGCCCGCCACCCAGCGCCCCACACCAGCCTGCCGCAGCCCAGAGCAGGGCCGTCAGGACGCGCCTCCCCACACAGGCCCCTGGGCAGTCCTCACCCAATTCTCCCTGGCAGGTGGCCGGGCACAGAGGGGCATGGCCAGCTGGCACCTGGCAGGATGCCCTGGGGGAAAGTGGGGTGACAGGCTGAGGCGTGAGCTTGGGCCTCTGAGGCGCAGGGCCGAGCAGGGCTCAGCGGGCACCTCTCCCCGTGCTAAGGAAGAACAGCTGGTGTCCGCAGAGCCGGGAGCAGCGCGAGGGGCTCCAGCCCTGAGCACACTCCCCAGGGCCCGGCCACTCTGCCGCTGGCAGCAGGAACGCGGGTCCTACGGGGCTCCGGGCAGGTGAGGGCTGCTCAAGCCGGGGGCGGGAGTGGGGCACAGACCCTTGGGTTCGGGGCCGGCACTGGGGCAGGTGCAGCCCACAGCTCGTCTCTCATCGGGGCCCCTCCTGGCCCGGCTGACCCTCCCGGGGCCCCGGCGGGCAGGGAGAAAAGCTCTGACAATGTGAGGCTGCTGGACACCAGCTGGGGGTGGCAGGACCCCAAGGGCCCCCCGATGCGGAGAAGCAACACAGCAAGGCAAGGGGGCCAGGGACAGACGGCACCGACCCTGCCTCCCGGCACCCACCTGTCCTGCCAGCCCAGCAACCGCCGGGCACGTCCGTGAGCCCTGCCCTAGCCCCGCCCTAGGTCCGTGATTCCCCGAGGCTCCAAGGGGGCTCCGTCCCCTGGGCCCACACACCAGACATGCCCTGGGACGGACTCCAGGGCTCTGCACACCGGGCGGGGCCTCAGCCCACACCACATGCCACATGCAAGACGTGGGGTCCAGACTCAGTGGCAGTCTCGGGGGCACCTGTTCGGGGAGGGGCCACGCAGCCCAGGGCAGGGGCGCGAAGATGGAGGTGCTGTGCCCCCCCACAGACACACACTCGGTGTATCCCCACAAACATACACTCAGGCCATGTCCCTTCACAGACACACACTCAGTGTATCCCCCAAAGACACACTCAGGCCGTGTCCCCCCTTAGATGGGTCCTTAGGTTGGCGAGCTTGGGCATCTCAGAGCAGCCAAGACTCAGCCCGTCCCGAGCCCCAGGTGTCCCAGCGGCCGGGTGGCATCGCAGGGGTGCTCAGACCCTGCCTGCTGGCAGGTCCCGGGGGTGTGCCCGGGCGCTCACTCCACTCCTCTGCTCTCCCGCACCACCATCCACAGCCTTCCCAAACCTCATTTCAAAAACTATTCCACGAGGCCGACCTGGGCTCCACCCCGGCGTGCCCTCTGGTCCTCCGAGCACCACGGAGTGACCCCAAAAGCCTAAATAAATACTCCAGTGGCGGGGGGTGGGGTGCAGGGGCAGAGGCCACGGGCCCTGCTGTCGCTGGCCCCACACACGGGCTCCCACTGGCCCCACGCAACCCGAGGTGGGTGACTCAGACACGGAAGACAGGTCTGAGGACCTCCACACGCGCCACGGTGGCCAAGCCGAGGACAGCAGACTGAATGCCCGCGAGTGGGCTGTGGGCCTGCCTTTGGGAGCGGCTCTGCACCAGCTGGGGCAAGAGTGTCCCTTCACTCTGTGCTGGCCTCGCGCTGACACGGCACACGCAACGGGCTCTCGTGGCTGAAGCCAGACACCCCCACGTTGTAGTTTGTTCCCGTTAATATAAATTCACCTTCAAATAAATGTGTAAGGGAGCTGGAGAGAGGGCGCTGGCCTTGCAGGCGACCAACCTGGGCTTGATCCCCGGCACCCCGGAGGGTCCCCCAGCCAGGAGAGGTCCCTGAGCACCGCCAGGTTGTGGTGCAAAACAGCAAGATGACCGAGTAAAACGTGACAGACCACAGGCGTCCGAGCGGGTCCCCCAAGAGCCGCATGAGTGACCCTGGGGCAATCCGGCGCCAAGGGGCCCCAGGCCGGCGCTCCGGGTGGGGTCCACACTCTCCAAAGGGCCAGGCCTGGCGGTGCTCCAGGCCACGTGGCGGCAGGGACTGAGCTCAGGGCCTCTGCGCTCCCCTGCTGAGGGCCGGAGGCCGGCCCTGGCGCTCTCCAAGGTGCCGACGGCGCCTCTGCCCTCAAGTGAAGCCGGGCAAGGCGGGACGCCACGACGGGCCCGCCCGTGAGTCTGGACAGCAGAGCCGCACCCAGGGGGCCGCTCCAAGCTGAGCTGGTGCCAGCACCCAGCGCACTGGAGGAGGGTGTGCGGGCACGGGGGTGGGGGAGAGGGGGCAGAGCCATCAGCCCCTTGCCCCGCTTCCAGCTGTGGAGACGCTGCGGCCGCTGCTGTCCCCCCCACCCCCCGGCTCGGGCTCCCGGCCTCTCTGCACCCCTCGCCGGGCTCCCTGGGGAGCAGCAGAGCTGGGGGGAGGGGCGAGCGCTGGATCCCTCCTTCCCGCTATTCTTGGCAACAAAGAACTAGTTATTTGCTTTCCTTCCCTTACCTCGGGAGCCTCTTCCCTCCCCCGGCTCTGAGCAGAGCCCGAGAACCAGCGGTGGGTTCCCTCTCCCTCTCTTCTCTCTCTCTCCCTCTCTTCTCTCTCTCTCTCCCCGCCTCTCCCTCCCTCTCCCTCCCTGAGATGCTCCTGGTGGCCATGGCCCAGAGCAGCAGAGGGACGCGCCTCTCCCTGCCTCCGGGCCAAGTGCCACCCCGTGCCCGCCACCACGGTCGCGCTGCAGGGTGGGGCCGGCTCCGGCTGCGCGGGGAGCGCACATGGCTGTGTTTTGGGGGCGCGGGCGGAGGCGGCCCTGGGTGACAGGTGTGTCGGTTGTGTGCGCAGGCGTGTGTGATGCGTGTGGGCGGGGAAGGGGCTCTCAGGGGAGAGGCGGGCGTGCGGATGACTCAGTGCTTCACAGTGCGGGGGGTGGGGGGCTATGCTCCGAGGGGTCCGACATGCCGGGAGAGCCGAGCTGGGTCAGCGGGCGGGGGTGCAGGCACCTGGGGCCGAGGGACCCAGGGCCGGGCGGGCGCTCGGAGGTGCGCACGTGGCCACAGGTGACACGCACCTGCTGGGTGCAGCAGAGCCCGGGAGGGACTGTCCCCGTCCCCACTGTGCCTGGACACCCCCAGCACCAACGACGGCAACAGCGACGGCCAAGCCACCACCTCGGAACAGACACTCGGCCGCGTCTGCCCTCCGGCCAGGTGAAGAGACACCCGCTCAGAGGGGTGAAGTAGCCTGCCCAGGCGCACAGCAGGCAGGGCAAAGGTCCCGCCGGGTCCGAAGCCGCCCCGGGCCCAGGGCCTCTGCGTGTCCCCGGCCGCCCCGGCGGACGCAAAGTGGCTGCACTCGCACCCGGGCCGCGGCCGCCTCTCCCGGAGGGCTCGGGGCTGAGCGGAGCCACAGCCCCGGCCAGAGGCAGAGTGCCCGCCGCGTGCATTATTCATGGGGTCACGGACGTTTCCCCGCGTCAGCAGCGGGCGCGGGGCCGGGAGCTGGGCTGGCCCCCACTCCCGCAGGCCTGCCCCGTCCACTCCCGGGCACCCCCCGGCCACCCGAGAGAGGCCCCCCACCCAGCCCACCCTCTGGGCCCCAAGGGAGCAGGGCCGCGGGCCGAGGGGTGAGAGGGGCGCGCCTGCCTGCGGCGGGCGGAGAGGGGGGCGTGGGGCAGAGAGAGGGGCGCGGCCGCCGACAGACCGCAGGGGCTTCGGGGCCTCTGCCGGCTCCCACGCAGGGCCGGCGGGTGGGCCGGGCGCCCGCGGCCCGCGACGGCAGCCCCGGGGACCCCCTTCCCGCGGCGGCCCGGGGCGGGCGGGGAGGGGGCGACGGCCCGGGCTCCCCAGCTGGGCGCGCCAGGCTGCTCGGCCGCCCACCCGCGCCTCCCTCAGCTGCGCCGGCCGGGCCGCGCCGGGCACCCGCGCACCCGCGCACCCGCGCACGCAGGCGCGCACACGCCCACGGCCGCCCGCCGGGCCCGAGGGCGCCCGCTGGGCCGGCCGGGGCGCCGGGGCCGGGGTCGGCGCGGCGGGCGCCCCGGCCGGCCGGGCTTACATAATTAACGGTCCCCGCCGCCCGCCGCCCGCGGTTGCGTAACCCGGGCCGCGCTCCCGCTCGGCCGCGCCGGGCGCAGGGCGCGGGGTCCCCGCGGGGGCGGCCGGGCGGCCCGGGCCCGAGCGAGCGGCAGCGCGCGGCCGGCGGGCGGGGGGCGCGCCCGGGGCCCCCCGCACCTACCTCCGTCCGGGTACGTCTCGGTCCCGTAGCCGTCCTGCAGCCCGTTGCTCCACGTCCCTTCGTACTTGGCGCCGTGGCCCGTGCACTCCCGCACCCCGTAGCGCCCCTTAAATCCGTGCGTCCACTCGCCCTTGTACACCCACTTCCCCTTGCTCTCCAGGCCGATGCCGTGGCGCTTGCCCTGCGCCCAGGTGCCCTGGTACGCGTTGCCGCTGGGCCAGGTGTAGACGCCCAGCACCTCGAAGCCGTGGCTCCACGAGCCGGTGTATTCGCCTTGGCCCTTGGGGCCGGTGCAGACGCCGTGGCCGTGCGCCTTGCCGTCCTCCCATCCTCCGCAGTAGGACCCTCCATCGTCAAAATTAAACCTTCCCCCACTGGACATGCATGAAACGCGGTTCGCGAACCCCGCCAAGGGTGGGCCGGGAGGCGCGGGGCGAGGCGGGGGCGCCGCGGCGGGCCGGAGACGCGGGGCGCGCCCGGCGGCGGCGGCGGCTGCTCGGCGGCTCCCGCGGCGCGCTCCGGGGGCAGCTCAGCCGGCCGGGGGCGACCGCTCCCTCCCGAGTGCGCCGCCGGCGAGCGGGCGAGGGAGCGAGCGAGCGACCCGCGTCTCGCGCTCCCGCTGGAGCCGGGCCCGGGGGAGGAGGCGGCGGCGGGTGCGGGAGCGGGAGCGGGAGCGGCAGCGGCAGCGGGAGCGGGAGCGGCCGCGGCGCGCGGGGGGTGGGGGTGGGCCGGGCGCGGGCCGCGCGGCTCCAGCGCAGCGCCAGGCCCCGAGCGCTCGGAGCGGCCGGCCGGGGCGCGCGGGGCAGGGGCGCGGGGCGCGGGGCGCGGGGCGCGCGCGGGGCCGGGATGCGCAGGGCCGGGGCGCGCGGGCCGGGGCGCGCGGGGCCGGGGCGCGGGGCGCGGGCCGGGGCGCGCGGGGCCGGGACAGGGGCGCGCGGCGGGCGCGGCGCGGCGCGGGGCAGGGGCGCGCGGCTCGGGCCCGGGAAGCGGGGCAGGGGCGCGGGGGGCGCGGGGCGCGCGGCTCAGGCCCGGGGCGCGGCCCCCCACCTGCGGCTGCCGCGCTGCGGGCGCGGGGCGGCGGCGGGGCGCGCGGGCGGCGGCGGCACGGGCGGCGGCGCGGGCGGCTGCACCATATTGGGGGCCGCGGGCCGGGCGCGGGGCGGCGGCGGCGGCGGCAGCAGCAATGCGGCGGGTCGGGCGGCGGCGGCGGCGGCGACGGCGCGACGTGCGCTCCGGGCCCGGCTCGCGCGCGCCCGCGCCCGCGCCCCCGCACGCGCGCGCCCCGCGTCCCCGCCCCGCCCGCCCGCCTGCGACCCCCGCCGCGCGCGCGCGCGCCCGCCCGCCCGCGCCCCCGCCGCCCCGCGCCCACCGGGCCCGCCCGCGCCCCCGCCCCGCGGGGCCGGGGACCTGCAAACGGGGGTCCACGCCCCGGCCCCGCCTTCCCGGGGAGCCGATTTAAAGGGACAGGAGCCGGCGGCGGCGGCCGTGGGCAGCGCCCGGGCGCGCGCTGGCCTCGCCCCGGCGCCTCGCGGACCCCTTGGCCGCCGTCCCACAGGTGGCTGGCGGCGGGGAGTCGCCCCGGCCCCTGGGGGCTCCGCCGCAGGGGACCGAGGACTCGGAGCCGGATCTGATCCCGGGACCTGTGGGGGCCCCCCAGCCGCTGGTGATGCCTCCCGAGGCTGTTCGCCCGCCCCCTGCAGACGCCCCCACGTCCCGCGTGCCTGGGCCCGCAGCCCCCTAGCCCCCTGCCCTGCGCCTTCGCCTCCAGGGCTGGACTCGGCTCTGGCCCTTGGGACAGCCTGGCCGCGTGGCCTTGTGTGGTTCTGGGGGTGAGTCAGGGAGGTGGGCACCTGGAGAACGCCCCAGGCCTTGCTCCCGTGGGCTCTGCGGTTCCCTCTCCGGTCAGCCCCGATCCCGTGAGCTCATTCAGCAGCAGTGCTCACAGGCCGTCATGACAGGGACAGCGGGCCCAGCCCCTGCTGGACGCTGATGAGCATCCGCATCCCGGCGGTTCCTCGCCCGGTGCCCCTGCCCCTGCCTGCGGGGAAGCCCCTCTGAAGTCCAGCCTCGGTTTCCCTGCCTGGGGCAGTGTTGGACTGGTCTCCCTGCAGCCCCCAGCAGAGCGTCCTGTGTGCGGGTCCTGGTTCTGTCGCAGTGTTGGCCCGGCAGCTGGGCCCTCTGGCCCCCTGCGCCACCTCCCTTCCAGCTCTGGGGGGCTCGAGTCCCCAGTTGGGTTCCCGTGAGGCTCCCAGCGCTGCTCGCCGCCCGCCTGTGGCCCCAGCAGAAGCACCCTTGGTTTCGGCGCTGCTCCTCGTGCCACAGTGCAGCAAAGAACCAAGTGTCCAGGCGGGGGGAGTCTGGCATCCAGCCCGCACGCAGTCTCCCCTGTCCCCCAGGCCGACCCCAGCTGACCTGGCCCTGCAGCCCCCAGCCCCGTGCACCTGTCCCTGCTGTCCCTGCCGCGACGTGTGACCCCCCATCACTGGCTCTGGCTGTGAACACCCCGGGGGTGGGGCCCCGGGTGTCCCACCACTGCCCAACGCCGGGGCGTGGACACGCGTGCCCAGTGTCTGTGCCCCCGGGGCCACCTCCGGGGGGCGAGGTTCCTGCACCGGGTGGGCACGTGCAGCCCACCCCACCCCACCCCGCGGTGCACCCGGCGGGCGCCGCTGCCAGACACCCGAGATCTCACAGCACGAATAGTTCTCTGTGTTCCAGGCGCCGCCCCCAGCCAGCAACTGTTCCTCCTCCTCAGAGGAGGGGAAGTCGGGGGGCGGCTCGGACGGGCCCCACGGCACCTAGACGCAGCACCCACCCTGCCAGGGCCCCAGGGAGCAGCCGAGGCTCTGTGCCCCTTTCGGGCATCACCGGATGTGGCATCGACCACGGGGCCTCACCTCAGCCTGAGGGGCCTCTGGGGACCCTGTTCCACAAACCACAGCAGCCCCCGGCCTCTCTCCGTGGGCCGAGTCCCTCTCTGCCGGACAAGGCCTGCGTGAGCCCCTGAGCCCGGCCAGCGGGGAGCAGGCGCCCTGAACCCCTCCGGGCTGCCCCGCCCACTCCCGCTGGCCCCTCCTTTGCTGGCCAGGAAGGCAGGAGGCGGGTCAGCCCGGAGTGGGATCCGAGCCTTTCCTCAGGCCTTGGGGTCCCCTCGCATCTCCTCAGTGGACCACAGGCGGGACCACGGAACCACCAGCCAGCGGGGGTCGGGGGGCAGAAGTGGGGACAGGGAGGGCCAGAGGGGCACGGCAGCAGGGCCCTCCCACCCAGGGTCGAGGCAAGAATGAGGGGATGCGGGGGTCCCCCTAAGCTGCAGACGGGCCCAGCAAGCCGGCAAGGCGCCCGCTCCGACTCCCTCCTCTGCTGCCGCACTTGTCCTGACGGCCCTCGGCCTATGTGCATACACACGGTGAGTGTGAGCAGGTGTATGTGTGTGCATGAGTAGGTGTGAGCATGCATGATATGCGTGTCTATGAGCATGTCCACGTATGGGAGTGTATGAGTATGTGTGTGCTTGAGTATGTGTGTGTATGAGTGTGCATGAGTACGTGTGGACATATATGAGTGTGTGAGTATGTGGGTCTGAGTGTGCATGAGTATGTGGGAGCGTGCACGAGCACATGGGCATGTGTGAGCGTGTATGAATGTATGAGTGCGCAAGCGTGAGGATGCACGAGTGTGTGAGCGTGAGCGTGTCTGAGTAGTTTGAGTATGCTTGAGTGTATGAGCATTGTGTGAGCTCTGGAGTGTGTATAGGTGTGATGTATATATGGGTGTCAGTGTGCACGTGTGTGTTTATCATGTATGAGTATGTTTGAGTATAAGCACGTGTGTGACATGTATGATTATGCGTGGCTGGGTGTGTGAACCATATGTTCCCGTATAGGTTGCGCGTGTGTGCACACAGGGCTCTTACATCTGCACGATTGTGCGTGCGTGTTTGAGCACAGAGGTGTGCCCATGTGACCCCATGCCTGACACCGTGGGTTGTGCCAGAGTGCATGAGAATCTCCTCACTCAGCACAGGCCTGCAGCGGCCTGGACAGGCCCTCAGCTGTCCACTCCTGCCTCTCCTGGGAGACACCTGGCCCTGAGGGCCGCCCACCCCATCCTGCGGTACGCACCCGGCACTCCGCCTGCCCTCCTGCTGGGACCTGGCCCAGCTGGCGCTCGTGGGCACAGGAGCGGGCCTGGGTGGTGGCTGCTGCATCCACGCGTCCTCCGCGGCCAGCCTGGCCTCTCCCACACCTTCTCCCCAGCCTCATCAGCGTCACCCCAGACCCGGCCATGCAGGGCGAGCCTCCGCGTCCTGCTCCCACACGGAAACACCAGCGCCCTCACACAGCCTCAGCATGGCCCAGGCCCAGGCGGGTGGGTCTTCGACGGAAACTCTTCATTCATTCATTCATTTATTCTTTGGGGTCACACGTGGTGGTCCTTGGGGACACCGGTGCTGGGTCCCGACCCTGGGCCTCCCGCAGCAGAGCCTGCGCTGTCCTCAGTGGTTCCTACTGGGCTCCCCCCGAAGTGCTTCCGGAGCGGAGGACAGGCGGTCTTGGCCTGATCCGGAACCTTGGGCATGCCAGGCTGTGCCCTACATGGGCTCCCTGGGGCCTGTCAGGTCTTTTCCTGCTGCTCTCCTGCTCGCGCCTGGCTGTTCCCAGGGTCTGTCCTGGTGGGCGTAGAGCAGGCACGTGTCCACTCTGCAGACTCAGGGGCAAGGGCCTGGCTGGACTCTCCCGCCAAGCGCCCCCGCAGGCAGGCGAGGGATGGGCAGTCCCTACCTGCAGACAGCCCCTCTGTCAGGCTGGCAGCCCGACTCCCCAGGTCTGCATGATGCGGGGCCCCAGGTGCAGGGCCCGCCTTCTCACCCCTGCACCCTCCACCTCCCCTGCACCCCTGCACACCGAGGTCCACCCGTCAGCAGGGCTCGCAGGTGGGAAGTGGGGCAGTGTCATGCATGTGCCCCCCGGGGCCAGCACCCGCGTCCGTGCTGGTGAGGGTGACAGTGTAGCCTGGACGCGGAGTAAGGCCACGGGCAACCCGATGGCTCCCTGCTGCCCCCGCCATGGCCCAGAGCACTTTCCACAGCACCTCAGCATCCCGGCCCGCGGGAGACCGGCCAGTAGGCCCGGGACACAGGGGCCTTTTCTGTGCTCTGGGGCTGAGTGGCCGGAGGGGTTAGAACCCAGAAATCTGAGTCCAGCATGAGTGCCGGCCACACGCACTGACCGATGCACCCAGACACGGCCCAGCATCACACTCCCCCACGGGGCCCTCTGGGCCAGCAGGGCTGTGAGTGGCCTGTCGGAGCAGCCGGGAGGCGTGGCCACTGGACCTCCCGACCCGCACCCCTGTGACCCGGGCCACGTCCTCGGGGACTGTGGGCCTTGCCTGCGAGAGCTTGTTTCTTCCCTCAGCAAACACCCTTGAGCGTCCCATGTGACGCCTGGGTACAGGTGATTCTAGGCAGTTCTGTGAAGGAGCTCGGGGTGGGGGCACTG